TTCGAGGAGATGATCACCACGCCGAAGGTTCCACCCTCCACGGGTGGCTCGGGATTGGAGTCGATGCTCGGACATCTGCGACGTGACCTTGAAGAGTCACGGCCGGAACGAACACCTGGGACGTGACCTTGAACAGTCACAGCCGGAACTCTGGAAGGCCGCGTACCTCCGAGTACACCGTGGGCAGCTGGAGCGTCCTCGCCTTGCCTGACTTCACGCGGTCGGGTCCGAAACCCGACAACGCAGTCGCGCGACACCCAGGATCTCCACTCCAGCCAGCTCGATCTCGTTCTGCCCCGAATCGTCTTCCTCTTCTTCCCTCTCGAGCATTGACAGTGCAACCTTTCGCGCAAACTTCCTCTTCCTTTTGGCGGGCCGCAGTTTCATGCGTGACGTTTCGCGCCAACGTCATCATCATCTTTCCGCCGCTCAATTGAGAAGAACCGCTGCCGTCGCCTCCGAGCACGTTGTACATAACACCACGGCTGCCACCACACTTCACTATACTACACCACAATGGGAAGCTAGCGAAATGGCCGTGAGCGCATCCTGAGCATAGCATGTAGTCATGTTGTTACATGACACGCATCTCATGATTACCATGTTTACACCAGTCAGACACCTTCGTCATCCATTCAGGTACCGTAATACCAGATTCGGTATATCTTACGCTAGCAAAATGGCCGAGAGCGCATCATGAGCAGGGGTATGTAGTCATGTTACATGACATGCATGTCATGATTTTCATGTTAACGTCTGTCACTTGTGTTCGCCAGACATTCATGTCATACCATACCAGTTTTGCAACATGTCATGTGAATGAAACCACAGCAAGAGCAGCAAGACCATGCCCCGCCGCGGTGGTCTAGTGGCTAAGGTACTCGGCTGCTGACCCGCAGGTCGCGGGATCGAATTCCTGGCGGCTGGATTTCTGATGAAGGCGGAAATGTTGTAGGCCCGTGTGCTCAGGATTTGAGTGCACGTTAAAGAACCCCAGGTGGTCAAAATTTCCGGAGCCGTTCACTACGGCGTCTCTCATATTTATATGCTGGTTTTGGGACGTTAAACCCCACAAATCAGCAATAAGACCATGAAATGTAAATCATGGATGACATACATGACAATATTTTCACATTATGACTAGTCAGATATGCTCGTCGTACAGTCATGTTATGCCATAGCAAGTTTCGTATTGATACCATTATCCAAAGGGCCAGGAGAGCTAAATGTCGTAGGCGGCTAGATAGATAGACAGACAGACAGACAGACACAGACAGACAAACAGATAGATAGATACGCTCAATGTCGCCAAAGCTCGCTAAGAAATGCTTCACATTTAAAAAGCGGAAAGACGAAACAAAGTCTTTAAATAAGCTTGCATTGGTCCTTGCACATTTGAATTCAATACGAGAAATCCCGGCAGCACTCTAGATAACCTTAGTTGTAGAACAGTTCTCAAAAAAGGTTCATCTACATCACGCAGAAAAAAAAATTGGCAGATCCCATGTACAGTGGGAATCGATGATGTGCGAAGCACGAGTGAGGAAGGGTGATATGACACCTTAAAATAACTATGAGAGGGACGTAAATTATGCCGTACATGACTTCCATTTCATGATTACCATGTTTGAACGTGTCATTTACCTTCGTCATCTAATCATGTCACCTGATACCAAATTTCATGTATGTGGAGCAAGCAAAACGGCCGCTAGCGCGCTATGAGCGTAGCATGTAGTCATGTTTTACATGACACGCATATTATTATTATCATGTTTGGACCTGTCATTTAAATTCAACGTCCATTCACGTCATGTAATGCCAAATTTGGTCTATGTGGCACTAGTGTAACGGCCGCGTGCACGCTACGAGTGTAGTATATGTAGTCACGCATGTCGTGATCATTATGTTTGGACGTGTTATTTACCTTCGTCGTCTACTGACGTCACGTGATACCAAATTTGACATATCTGGAGCTAGCGAACGACCGCGAGGGAATCCTTAGCGTGGTATGTTGTCTTGTTATTACATGGCACGCACGTGATGATTATCATGTTTGCACCAGTCTCATAACTTCGTTATTCAATGGAGTCCTGTAATACCAAATTTGGTACAAGTGAAGCTAGCGAAATGAAGGGCCCAATAGACTCCGAAGTAATGTTGACGTGCGCACACGCTAAGCGCAACGACGCTACGCTAGCAAAACGCGAGCACTCTATAGTCTGACGCCAGGCGCCACCGACGCAACCGGCGGGAAATGCAACATGCCGCATTTCGCACCTATGATGTTACCCAGCTCTACATGTGTTCTGTGGCTACCAGACAGCACTGTCCTCTCTTCGCCTACCCACTTAAAGTCTATTTTGCCCTGATCTGTCCCTAAACCCCAGTGCTTTGAAAAACTCTGCTCCATCATCCTGTACTATAGGATGAAGTTCTTTACAGAACATTATCTAGTGTTCGGCAGTTTTCTCCTCCTTTCCGAAGGGGTGTCTACCCCTTCGTATTTGGCCCGATATGTCTTGGTTTGCAATACTCCCGTCCTGGCCTCAATCAGTAGAGAACTACCCCGAGTATTATCATAGATGCCTTTCCTTGGCGATTTCCTGCTTAAATGTTTGATAGATTTCTAGCACGGACCTTCTTAATCATGCCAATTCTCCACATGTCAGTCTCCGTTTCCTTCACCTTCTTCTTAACCGATAGTTTTTTTTTTTCTTTCGCCCTCTTGCTGTTTTCCAAGTATTTACCCGTCAATTTCCTGGTTCGTTTTCTCCATTTCGTATCGACATTCTTCATGTACAAGTAGCTGAAAACCTTTCTAGCCCAACGCTTGCTCCCCAGTTTCTGTCAATCCCTTCTCAAATTTTATCTTGCTGCTAGCTTCCCTGCCCTCAAATGATGTCCATCCTATATCACCTCGTACTCCCTGATTTGGTGTACTTCCCGTGAGCTCCTGAAGCAAGCCTACCTAATCCATGTTGCTTAATTTGTAATCTTGCTTGAACTTCTGATCTCATGCACAAGATCGCATTGCCAAAGGTCAGTACCACGAACCATGACCCCTTTCCATATTACCTCTCACAACATCATACCTATTGTAATTCCACAGTGCCCTATTTTTCATCACTGCTGCATTCCTGTTATCTTTAGTCGTTACGTATATTTTGTGTTCCCTAAGGTACTCGGTCCCATCGCGTTCCTATACACCCAGATATTTTTATTTATCTGTTATTTCCAGCATGACCTCCTATATCCTAAGCTCACTACCTTCGTTATTATAGAAATTCACGACTGCTGATTTTTTCTTTACAGAATCTGAAATCTAACCTATCTCTCTCATTACCACAGATGTCCATCAATCTCCGCAAATTTCCTTGTTGTCGGCCAATAGCACCATATCATCTGCTGTACATCAATGCTGGTGGTGCCTGTTCAATGAGTTTTTCGTTTTCCTTGTTTGACGAGAGAGAGGTTGAAGCAAAGTCCACTTCCTTCTAATTTGGCCTCTAATCCTTGTAGGTACATTATGAATAACAAGGGTGACAGAGGACACCCCTGCCTAAGCCCCCGTTTTATCCTCTGTGGGCTTGGATACCTGTTTTTCCTTCTTTATAACTATGTACCTTGTTACTTTTATAGATATCCTTTAAAAGATTAGTGACTCCATCTCCCACACCTACTGTGTCCAGTATTCCCCACAAGTCCTCTTGAACCACGCTATCGTACGCTCCTTGGTATCCAAAAATGCTAGCCACAGGGGCCTGTGTCCCTTTTCTGCTATTTCGATGCACTGCGTCAGTGAGCACGGATTGTCTTCCAACATCCTGAGTTTCTGAAACCCATTCTGCAGTTCCCCCAGCACTCCCTCATCCTCTATCTATGCCTGCAGTCTTTCCTTTATAATCTGTGTCGCCAGCCTGTAGACCACTGATGTCTCTGTTATAGGACGGTAGTTGTTTATGTCAGCTTTCTCCCCTTTCCTTTATAGATCATGCTGATCTTGCTAAGTTTCCATCCATCAGGGATTTCATCATCGATTATTGTTTTGCTCACTGCCTCTCTCAAAGTCTGTTTAGACTTCGGACCCAATGTCTTTATCAGCATAATCGGAATGCCATCCTCGGCATTCGAGGATGGCAAAAATCGACCGTTGCAATTTTTTGCCTCGGTCGATTTTTCCACCCCCTATAGCAATAGTTGAAACTTGAGAGTTCTCTAGGGCCTGGTAGAGCATGGAGGAAGGAATAAACCATTGAATAATTTGAGGAGAGGCTGTTACATCACATTTTGTGAAGCCGGAAGTAGGGAAGAGTAGAGGACTACACTCAATTGTGGGCACGCTACGGCGGCTCGCACATGCGCAATGGAAGTCAGCGAGAGGGAGTCCCCAGCGTGTCCGGCGCCTCCCTCTTTCTGGCCCAGGAGACGCCGGCGTTCCAGCCATGGTTTTAGGCGAGACGCCGGTGTGCCAATTTGTCCCACAACCCCCCTGCAAAAGCACGTGACTTCCGCCGCATGTCTTAAGGCGTGTTCAAGCTGGAGCTGTAACAACCACAGCACCATCTTCTAGTGGCGAGCACAACAACCAGTCATTGGTGAATCAGCGGCAAGATTACCACTCCCACCCTATAGTTATCCCGCCCCCTTCAAGGCGATTACGCTTGGCTTCTTACGTGATTGGCTTGAAGGGGAGGCGGTTGCAGTCTTGCCGCTTGTCCCATATCACAAACAACTGCCCGTTTTGCTCGCCACTAGGAGGATGTGGTTGCTAGCGCTCCCGCTTGAACACGCCACAAGGAGCTGCCGCGCAGCGCGCGAGCCACGTGTTCGCGTGTTTCCTTTTATAAAAATTGACACTGTACGTGAGCACCACAAGATTTTGGTGTGCCAAGTTAATGTTCTTTGTAAGTGCTGTGTCCTGGTGGTTCAGCTTGCATGGAATAAAAAGGGCTGACATGTGGAGAGCCTATGTGTTTACATGGTGGCTTGCGCATGCGCAGACCCACGTACGGTGCGCAAGATGATGAACGAGCTGGTGGTGTCTCCGACGGCCGGCCGCTGTCCTACGTGCCAGGTGCCCTTCGACAAGGGAAAGCGACGCCGCATCACCGAGGACTGCGGCCATGAGCGCTGCTACTACTGCATGCTCAACTCCGACGGGCCAGGATGCCCCATCTGCGCTGCCGAAGGTACATTTGCTGTCTTCGTGAGGTGATTCAAAACAGCAAACTTTGTGAGTTGGTAGCTGAACATGAACAAATACATTTTCTCTGCTTAGTGAGAAGGAGCAGCCGACTCCATTACAAAGGCATTCTAATCATCATTTAAAAGAAAGGAAAACATATTGGCAGATACCACGTACAGTGGGAATCGATGATATGCGAAGCATGAATGATGAAGGTTGATATGTTACTTTAAAATCAGCAGAATGATACAAGGCAGGCATAAATTATACCGTGCATGATTACAATGTCATGATTATCATGTTTTAACAAGACATTTACCTTCGTCGTCTATTAACATCACGTGATAACAAATTTTGTATATGTAGAGCTAGCGAAACAGCCGCGAGGGTGCTATAAGCATAGCATGTAATCATGTTTTACGTGACATGCATGCCATGATTATCATTTTTGGACGTGTCATTTGCCTTCGATATCAATACCATCATGTGATATCAAATTTTATGTTGGGCTAGCAAAACCACCGCGGGCGCGCTATGAGCGTAGCATGTAGTCATGTTTTAAATGACACGCATATTATGATTATTATGTTTGGACGAGTCATTTAACTTCGTCTATTCACTTGACGTAATACCAAATTCAGTAAATGTGAAGCTAGTGAAACGGCCACAAGTGCATCATGAGTGTGGCATGTTGTTATGTTGCATGACACGCATGTCATGATTATCGTTTGGACATGTCATTTACCTTTGTCATAAATATGATTGTGTGGTACCAAATTTGATATATGTTGGGATAGCAAAACGGCCACGAGCTTGCTATGAGTGTAGCATGTAGTCATGTTTTACATGACACACATATCATGATTATGATGTTTGGACGTGTCGTTTACCTCCGTCGTCCGTTTGCATCACGCAATACCAAATTTTGTATATGTGAAGCTAGGGAAACGGCCGCGATCGCATCATGAGTATGACATGACACGCATGTCATAATTTTAATGTTAGGGTCTGTCACTTGTGTTCTAACATAACACGCATGTCATAATTTTCATGTTAGGGTCTGTCACTTATGTTCGCCATGCAGTCATGCCATACCATAACAGTTTTGCACTGTTTCATGTGAACGAAACCACGGCAAGAGCAGCAAGACCATGAAATGTAAATCATGACATACATGTCATGATTTTTCATGTTTTGACTAGTCACTTATGCTTGTCATACAGTCATTTTCTGCCACACCAATTTTGGTATCGATACCATTGCTGAAACGGCCAGGAGAGCGAAAAGTCATAGGCGGATGGATAGATAGATAGACAGACAGACAGACAGACAGACAGACAGACAGACAGACAGACAGACAGACAGACAGACAGACACACACAGACACACACAGACACACACACACACACACACTCACACACACACACACACACACACACACACACACACACACACACACACACACACACACACACACATACATACATACATACATACATACATACATACATACATACATACATACATACATACATACATACATACACAGACAGACAGACAGACACGCTCAAAATCACCGAAGTTCACTAATTAACGCTTTGAATTTAAAAACAGGCACATTCATTTTTGAATTTGTTCTTCCTTTTTCTCCAACCGGGTCATGCTGCCCTTTTGCAAATTATGCTCGAATGATTATTTATTACGTGCAAACTTGTGAGAATAGATAGTGGGTGCCGAATAGGTTAAGTTAAGGTACGTTATTCTCGACCTATTTAGAAACTTGTGTCAGGTAGCACTTTTGGTCAGTAGTGAGGCTCGTGGAATGTCTTTTTTTTCATTTATTCAATACTGCTAGCTACACTTTGGTCGCCAAGGTAGGAGTAGTTGCAGTGCAGTGAATGGTTAGATTAGTTACAAAATATTGTCATGTTACAAGTATGAAATAATAAAGAAATATATGAACATTAATAAGATAATCAATTAGCAGTGAAATCTAAGTTAATGATTACAAACAACAAAGTACACAATCACTAAAAAAACTATTGAATATTCAATAGTAAGTGAATCAGTATCCAGTAAAAATAAACAAAAAACATACCCAGCAATCACAAGTAGGTAACAATAGCCGACAAAACGGAATCAGACTTTCGCATGTTTACCCCCTCTTGTTTATTCAGCTATTGTCCTAGGTAAAAGAAAACCTTGTACGCATTTGCTTTGCATTGAGGTTTGGCGTGCATGATAGGACACTATGGTCTTTGGAATGCATGTAAAAGTTTTTCTTGGCTTATTGCTTGAAATGGCTAGTTTTGATAGCTTACACATTCTGAAGGACTTGTTAATCAAATTGACATGATTTGATTGACATGCGGGGTGTAACATCCCAAAGTTACCGTATAATTATGAGACACGCCATAGTGGAGCGCTTCATAAAATTCTACCACCTGGGGTTCTTTGACGTGCACCCAAATCTGAGCACACGACTTGTCTATTTATTGTAATTGTTAAAACGTACCTTGGAAGAAAAAAAGAAGTGCGACTTGTTCATATTTACATCCAGCAGTAGTATATCTAAATTATTTTCGCTTTCACTCTACAGGCTACTATCTAATCTATTGAGGACATAGTGCAAGTTTCTGATCTGTTTTGGCTGGAGCAGTTGTACTTCGCTATATCTCTAGTGTTGGGATAACGTCCTTGGTAGGCCCAAGATGGTGACGGTCTCACAGCAGCAGGACAAATTCGTAACTATGTCTTCTATATTTGTAGCTCACTCCAGAGCCTGTTAAAATTGATATCGTGCGTGTTGAGAACATTTGGACTGTCTTTTTTTAATCTCTTTATTTTCTCCATATTTTTAACTGAGGGGATAAACCTGCCTGCATATTGTGTGCTCAGTATTCTTGTCTCGCTTAATGATGCACTCACTTTATACTTTGTTTGCTTTTTGACAGCCACGAAACCTCCTAGCAACCAGTCCAGGCCTCGCATGAAGACCAATGGACACTTCACCACGTTCATGCAAACCCGCAACCCTCATACAAGAGGTATGGCAATTGAAAACACGAGCGGTATACCTGTTCAAGTGGTGAAAGCGATGGCCTTAGTTACTAGTCTCACTTGTCATTTTTGTCCCATTTTCCTAAGCATGCATGCTACTTACTCATAGGCTTTTGTAGGGCCCTCTATCAGGGGCGGGGCTAAGAATCACCTCCAGTTGGCTGAAAAGACACGCCGCTCACAACAGCCTGCCTTTTGTCCTCGACTCTCCGAGTGAAAATGGATGCTCTTGGAGTGCAACATAGTTCGGCCGCGATTACTAACGAGGCCGCATTTCTTGCCACCTGCTACTTACACAGCAGCTGTTTCTGCCTGAACTCACTGCTGACATCTCGCTTCCTGGTCAACCATGGTCAGCTATCTTTCATGAAGCTAAAGTTATAGTGACACACAGTGATCAAACCACATGAGAAATAATTGAAGCATATAATATAAAAAAAGGGACGAACAATGCTTTAGTGGGCCTTCTATTGCCCTACATGATAGCGAGGTTAAGTTCTTAGATAGGACGATATATTAACATTTATGCTGTTGGGAGTACACTGTGGGTGTATCAAGGTTTTTTTATTGTTCAGTGAATGTCAGCTGATCTGCTTTTTGCCTTAGTGTGGTCATTAGGGTGTGAAGGTTGAAGCGTTCTTTTTCATGTTTTTCTAATAAAAATTCAGTTGCGAGTCAGCGCTGTGGTTTCTTCCTTCTTCTCTTGTGTCTGCATAGTCATGTGCTGTGTTAAAATATGTTCAATAACTATGAATGTTAGCTGCAGTGTTATCTCTACTTTGTTGTTGGAGGACGTTTACTTATGTTTTGCTTCAGAGTCAGCTGTCATATGTTAGTTGCTGTGCTATCTCAACTCTGTTATAGCAGATTGTTTAATCCCAATCAATGCTTTCACCAAACACAAACATATTTCGAGGCCTTGTTGGGAAACCCATCCAACGGCTTGTGCTGCTCTAGCTGACGCTCCCTTTGGTAAAGACAAAGCATTAAACTTGCCCCCCCCCCCCCTCTTTGCAAGCGAAACACCCTGTCGAAACTCTTGAGTTTGCCTTTACAAGATGAGACACTCCTTTCAACTTTGCAGGTTCTCCGGTGTCAGGCATGGCCAGTCCGAAGATTAGCCATATTTCCTGGAAAGACCGGCAGATGACAAGGCCTTCCACTGTTAGCGTAGACACCCACAACGCCTTGTCAGGTGAAGAAGCTGCTTTTTGTATGCTTGGAGTGTGTGTAACAGACCATCTAAATTGTGCTGCGGGAGACCCGGTAACACATGGGATTGTTGTCGGTAGTTTCACTAGCAAGCGAGCAACTTCTATTTTGCTGTCTTGTGGCGAGCGTGTAATGGGAGTGTGACTGTGAAAATAGAAAGTACAATCTAGCAGGAAGTCGTATGTCACCTTCCCCTCTTTTTCTCTGTTCTTATCTAGCTCATTATTTGAGTCCTTACTTTTAACTATTGGAAGGACTGCTTTGTACCTTATCTCTCTGTGTGTGTAGTTATTCTAACTTAAGCCTGTCATAGAAGCAGCATTTGCACAATAGACAGACAGGCTTATTATTTGCGAAGATAAAAATATTAGTGTTCCTTAACTTGGAACTGTATTGGGTACCAAGTAGCTGTTGAGAAAGTTAATGAGGGACCTACATCCACTTTTGGTGGCGCACTTATAGCTTTGTTATCGGCTTTCGAATCCTTGTCACCCACAGAAGATGGGTACCAAGGTTTTGTTTTAAAGCGATTGCAAGACTAAAATTTTCCGAATAGCTGCTCATGTCCTGAATTACCACTGTCTTTCATCCCCCCGGCAGACTTGGCCAAGGTCCAGCACTGGCCAATGAATATGGTCAGAAAAATAAAATCTCTATGGACCATAGGTAAATACCAGTCACACCTTTGGCAAGCAGTCTAGCGGCATGCTTTGCAGTGATGTATCCTCGGCAAATTATTTTGTAGGGGTCAAAGAAAGTGACCCAGCATGCATAGCCATACATATGCACAAAGCACTAATTCTGCACGTGTCGTAGTAGCTGCCTGCTTAGGCCTTACCAGCACAAGCGTGTTCACCGCCTGTGAGATTTGCGTGAGCCACGTGCGCATGAAGTTGTTGGCTGTACTGCTTGACACTGATCTACAACACAGGAGACAGTGCGACGTGCGCGGCGGGACTTCCGAGTACAGGCGAATAATGTTGTAGTGCTTCTCAGTGGTATCTTTAAAATTAGTTCCAATGCTGTAACTAAATGTGCTAATATGCAGTATTAGTGGTGCACTGCTGCCTCACCCAAGCGACTGTGTAAATACCAGACTGTATAAATACCAGACTGTGTAAATAGTGCAGTTGTAGGGATTACCTCTCTTTCCTCCCGATACCAAATGTTGAGGCCTGCTTGGAGCTAAGCAATATGGGGGCATAGTCAGATACTGCGTCTGAAATGCCTGCTCTAAATGGCGTGCAACACATCAGTAGCTATAGTGCACATATCAGTGGTACCTGTGCGTTTAACTGGGAGTGCACAAAACCTTCAGAAATAGACAATTAGCGTAATATTTGCTTTTTCCCAGGCTATATATTTTATACAGTCAACGTCCGATTTCCCAGATGTCCCAAATTTCGGACATGCCCGATTTCCCGTACTCATCTGTGGCACCATTAAGTTCCCCATAGAGTCAATGTAATAAAAAGTTCGAAATTCCGGACGCTTGTAGCCTTCGGCATCCGATTTCCTGGACTTCTTATTGTTAACCTCCGACCCAACGTCACCGCCGACGCCACCATTTCAGTTGTTTTCATATCCTCGAACACGCCATACTCGCATCGCAGGTATAGCCAGCAGCACTGCTGCCAACCGTGGCACCACGCCGAGGCTGCCGTAACCTCGAAACCTCACGTGTCAATTTGTTGCCAGCTGTAGCTTTGCAACTTAGCCAAACCAAACCTCACTGTGTTCGTTCACGTGTTGTTTTGTCAGCTTTGTGGTTGTGTCCTTGTTTGCTGCTGTGCGCAATCTTCAGTGATCATGTTGCCCGACCTTCAGCATCCATCGAGTTTTTAGCTGTTTCGTGCTGTGCTTTTCATCGAGCGAATTAGCCTGTTTACAGCGATGGCACCGACGGCTCCTTCGTCTTTGTCCACGCCTTCAAAGTGCACAAAGCCCCCTCGCAGGCTCATGATGGAGAAGAAAGCCACCATCACTGAACAGGTCCAACACGGTTGGTCGTAGGTAGAGCTGGGGAGGGAGTTCGGAATTTCAAAGCACACTGTTTCAGGACTTCATCAAAAACAAGGCGAAGCTCTTGGAAGTGGCTTCCAAATCAACCGGGGCTGGAAAGAAGAATGCTAGCCAGGGTGTTTACCCGAAGCTCGAGGAAGCGCTCGTCATTTGGCTCAGTGCCATGATCGCTAAGAAAATCTTTGTGTCAGGCAACATCCTAAAGCAGAAGGCAGAGGTTTTCGCTCTTTAGATGGGCATGAAGGACTTCAAGTTCAGCGGTGGATGGCCTCACAATTTTATGAGCCGCAAGGACTTAAAGTTAAAAAAAAGCTGGCGTCATCGACGATTTCGTTGTCGCCGAATATAGGAATGGAAAGCTGCAGTTCATGCTGCAGCAGTTTCTAGCTAATGATATTTTCAACTGCGACGAAACTGGACTGTTCTACAAGCTGCTGCCAGAGAAAACACTTGCATTTGCTGGTGACCCCTGCCACGGCGGCAAGCACAGCAAGGAGCAGATCACTGTCCTCGTTGGCAGCAACATGTCAGGCAGTGAGAAGCTTCCGTTACTAGTAATAGGCAAGTCAAAGCATGCAAGATGTTTCGAAGGGGCAGTGACTCTGCCTGTTTTCCATGACGCTAACAAGAAGGCGTGGGTAATGCAGCAGTTACTTGAAGTGTACGTGCGCAAGCTGGACAGAAGGTTCGAGCAGCAAAATCGCTCTGCTGTTTTTAGATAACTGTGCTGTGCATGGCCACATCAAGGACCTAAAGGCTATACAGATTGAATTTCTGCCACCGAACACCATCAGGAATCCTGCAGCCGATGTACCATGGCGTGATTCGGAGCTTGAAGCATCATTACAAATCACACGTGCTCCGCCGCATGGTGCTCTGCTCCGACAACAGGAAAAGCTATGCTGTTGACCTCAGGTCTGCCGTCGGCATGCTAGCCGAATCGTGGAAAGCTGTTACACAGGTGACTCTGCGGAACTGTTTTCGCCATGCGGGCTTAACACTTGACGCTGACAGGGCCGTCTCGCCCCAAGTGAACGCTTATGTGAAGAACTGCCATGCGCGGATGTTGCCTTCGACGATCTGCACGCTGCCAGCATGTCGATTCGAGCCGGGTTAACCTTTGAGGGCTTCACCGACGCTGACAAAGACCTCGAGCTATGTGCGAACTTGACTGATGACGAAACCATTCATCAAGTTACAGAGGATTCCGACGACTCCGGCATCGAGAACGAAGAGCCATCTCCTACTCAGCCAACAAGCTTGGAGTTGACGTGAGCACTGATGACGCTGTTATCGCTGTACAGCAGCAACATGACGTTAACTGAAATTGAGGCAGACATGATTAGCGGCAAGTGTAACGCCGTGCAAAAGAAAATAGGCAACTTCTTTGCACCCAAGTGCTGATCTATGAGGTAGCAGCAGCCACGTCGGATTTTTTAATTTTTTATGAACGGACTCTTTTCAGAGCCACCTAAATGGATGCATCCGCTGAATTGAAAATAGGAGTCTTGTACTCCGGCTGTTGCCCTCTCCGTCAGGGAAGAATACCAACAAAAAAAGGTTCGTATTCAGGTGCATTCGTTGTTCCGGACGTTTTCTCAGTCCCTTGAAGGTCTGGGAAATCGGACGTCAACTGTATATGTTTATTTACTGACACTTTTTCAGTGCTTCGTTGTACTTTGTACGATATTTTTTTTCAATAAGTCTTAGTAACTTTCACTAGCAGCCACCTATAACGGCCAGTTAGTCATAAGTTGGGAAAACAGAGCCTGGTATGAACATTGCTGCTGCAGTAAAATGAACAAACATCATCCGTATACTGCTGGGTGAATTTATTGTTACGGTGAAGGATTGTAGATGCCACCACACAAGAATTTGAAAGAATGGCAGGCTGTTATAACTTCTCATTTTCACATGGGCATATACTGCACTCTTGTGCATGGTGTAGATTTTTCCACTGCACTATTTGTTTTTGCTTCCTTGAATTTCGTTTTGTATTTGCAATATGCAATGATTAATTTAGAATGTTGCATGAGTGTTTTAGAACTTGCGGTCCTGTATCTCCCTCTCTTTGAGTCTTAGTATTTTTTAGTAGCTTTCGTGCTAGCTCTCTTGGACATTTGCGATAGAAAATGCACATTTTGCATGGCATCAGATTCGGACTGCCATATGCACTTAAGTGTGCAAGAGGAGCGTTGTTCAGTAAAACAAATGTATAGTGAGGATTTCAGATTTTGTGGCTCTACCATCCTTGCAGCGAATACGGACTTAGATCACACAATCTCATTTTACGAACGAAGTTCCTTAAACTCGCATAATGTCTGTTGCTATTTCGTAGGTCCCCATCGACTGTGCAGTCAAGTTTTCCTCACTGACTGCAGCGCCAGAACGCAAAACCTAGTTTATCTGCCTGGCTTTTTACAGTTGCAATACTGAGACGGGGTTGGTGAAAATTGAACGCGATGCGTGCGTCTATCTCCCTGCATGAGCGGGCTGATTGTAACAAGGATACCCGGAGAATGCATCTGTTTTCTGCAGCGCACCTTACCTACAATGTCAAGGAACTTGAGACTGGGCGAGAAATGCAGCTTCCTCTGGTCAGTGTATGGTGCCAGAGCATTCGTAGTGCTCATATGGTTTAAAAAAATTATGGACCATCTCCCCGAAGGGAACTATGATAGGATGCGAAGCAGCAGCGGTACGCATGCTGTTGACCCGGTTGAAATGGGCATCGAGGCGGATGCTAGAAGAATGATTTGAAGCAAAACTCGGTGTAGCTTTTACTCGAATAAAAGTTTCTTTTAAACGCAAAGACTAGGGAGGCGGGTTGGGTTTCATGCGAGTTTCTTGCAGATAAATGAGCTGGAAGAGTGTTTCCACTCGACGTGAGGTCGAGCGTTGCGGGTGGTGGAGAGGGTTGAGCAAGAGAGAAATGTGTCGCGAGCAGGCGGAGGAGCAACACCAACTATATATGTGTATTGGGAAGAGCCAGGAGCTGCTGCGGTTGAGGAGGAGAGTGACGACAACCCTGCTGCTGCAACTTCACCTATTTGGCATTCTTACAACAACTCTGATGAGCGAATGCGGTGTGGCACGTTGGCACGAAGACACGGAGGGATAGAGTTACACTTCAGGCTAGTTAAAGAGCTGCTTCGCATTTAAAAAATAAATCAGCAGCATATCCACGGAGTGAATGATGATGAGTAGGTTGAAGTGTCCATACATCCATACATGCAATCATGTCTCCAATCGCGTTCGGGAATGCAGACGGCGCGCGGTTAACACTGACAAGAGGTGAGCCAAGAAAGCTGAGTGTAAGCGTCTTCAACGCGCCTGCTGCTCTGCTTCGTCCATGCCCCACCAACGATCCGCCACGTGCAGTGACTATCCAGGAGACTGAAAAGGCACACGTTCTCCTACGTACCTAGACAGAACCCACGCAGCAGCCAATTGGAGAGTAGAAGTACAGCACCATTTAGAATATTCTCACCCAACTGCAGTTTGTATGTACTTCTGCGAGACAGCGCCGTCTAATATACTGTTGGTGAGAGACTGCCTTCTTTTTTTTTTCTCATCTCTTCTTCTTTCAGTTACACGTGATGAATTGGACTACAAGAGCTTCACCCTTAAAATAGACCGTACTCTGTTCGTGCATGCATTTTGATGTATGTTCAGCGAGTGCCCATTGAGAGGTGGTCTCCATTCTTGCATGATTGGACACAGCGACGCTACGCAAGCAAACCGTGGGTCTGACGCGAGGCGCGACCTACAAGACTGGCGTCTGTTAGCGCACCCAGGTGGCTACCTGGCACTGTCGTAAATATTTAATAAACATTTTGTAATCGTCCAAGTATCTTTGCTCCATTATCAGCGTTCAACTCGTGGATCAGCTTTTTTGGCAACACCCTTTTGTACAGTTTCTTCCTTGTCACAGTCGTGCATTCACATCTTCTGATGTTGCATGTTTCGAGATATGGATCAATAACGTGTCGCATAGAAATGAGAGAGCAGGAGAGAAAGCGAGGTGTGTATATAGAAAAGAAAAAGTAAACATGATGTTTTCACATGGTCAGCAGTGACAAACTGACGTACTTGTAAAGTTCGTGATGTAAAGATTAACATCATACGCCAGGTCCCGACTAACTTAAGCCTTTCTAAACTAGAAAGCACGCGTATAGTATATGTGGCCACTTATCGAACGGAATTCTTTGTTCTGTTTGCATATTCGGTTGCTTGTGGGTGTGGCTGACAGAACGAACTATACAGGTCACCCAGCTGAGTAGTGTAGCCTGTACCCGATAACTGAATATACATTTTCGAGCGTCAGTGCCGCACTGTTTATTTGCGCCTTGTCTTCTGCGCGTTTCAGTACTAGCCTGAAGTGCTCTGCAAACTTGGTGTCCTGCGAGCATGCTAGTTGACAGTTGTTTCACTCTATCAAAGCACAGCCAGATATACATCAAATTACACTACTGTTGAGTTCATATTATCGGTAAGTTTGTATTGCCACGCCGACTTTGCTGCGGTGCCTGTTGTGTTCCAACCAGGTGTCATCCAAAGCTCTGCTTTGTGTGCTCGCAGATGACGAGTTTTTGCAGCCCATCTACCACCAGCCGTATCAGCACCATCGGCCACCTCCTCCTCCCCCTGTTGTACCCCATCCTCCGCCGCTGGGAGGCTCACAGCAGCAGCGGCATGCATCCGAGCACCTGTACACTCGACTCGGACTCCTCCTGGGCGAGGGCAGCAACCACAGCCAGGGGTCATTTGCCAGTGTCTCTTCGCTCGCCAACAGCGACATTAACATAGCTGGTTCTAACAACACCAGTCCCATCTCTACACTGACGGGTAAGCGAGTACGTGCTGTCTTGCGATAGCGTAGCTACAATTTCTATTCCAAAGGAGCAGGAATGGCGAGGTTCATCTGTGCTTTACGAGTGCCTCTTTGTATGTGTGAGTGTATATATATAAACAGAAAAATATATAAATTTCGAAGAGGAGAGGGTCGGACACCCCCTGGCTACGCCGGTGCTTTTCCGCAAAAAATTTGAACCTTCTGAAGTTCTGATTAGCTCTGGTTTTATTATGATTTTAGTGTAGTTTGGAGAAAACTTTTGTGTATAGTGTTATGGGTCCGAAGTGAATGCGCATACCCTGAACGCTATGAAGAACTCCTTGGGTCATTCCGCCATGCCAATAGCTTCCTTGTATATTAATATGTCAGTGTTGAGATGGCCCACTTTGATCCAAATTTAGCCAAATTCTCGTAGCAGCAGAGCTATAATAATGAAATTACATATCTTTTCTAGGGAGCTCGATATTCATGAGGTTTTGTGGTCGCTGTAGGAAAGACAGAGAGCCTTTTTTTTTTACATTCATGATATCTAGACTTCTCTCTTCTGTCTGTGTTTGCACAGCCATAACATGTCCTAACCTCACCTAACCAATAAGATCGTCACTTATTCTTTACAGGATCATCAGAGGCAGAAGCCATGAGCATACTACGTAGCTCGAGCAGAGAAGAGAGCTCAGACAGCGTTGCATCGCTCATGAGTACCAGCTCGTCACCATCACCTTCACGCAAAGAACCTTTCCAGCAGAGTGAGTGATGACCTTTCCTAAAAGTGTCCATGCAAAGGCGACATTGTCCACTGTCCCCTTTGCATTAATGTCAACTTGACGTTTTTCGCTGACTCGCTTTTTCTTTATCATTTTTTTTTTCAGGGAATAATAGTGTGCCCAACAACAGGAGGGGCACACCACTTAATTGCTCAAACAAACGCCAAGCCTTTGGTCACGCGAGATGTAAGAAACACTTTCGTACCTTTCTCATGTTGTGCCATGCATTATCACGACTCATACTGCCGGCCATAATTAACTATCACGAAGGGTATGTCTTAATGCCTGTTTAATTGCACAATTACAGGGGAGCAGCTGCACTACAAGATCTCACTTCAGCCAGCATTGAAGCCGTTGTTCTTTGAAGTTCCCCAAGCAGATCGGGATCCACCGTTTGTTGGGAGGCAGTGGCTCTTCGACGAAATTGAGCAGGTAATTTCTTTGCAGCCAGATTGTTTATGTTTATAGTATACTCAGCCCTGATAGGAAGAACGTCAGCGAAGGGCATGTGCAACTGTGCCACCACTGTAGTACATATTTCATTGGGTTTGAGCGTGCTGTGGAAAGATTCAAAATTATCATTCTCAGACTGAACGTTGCTGATGCATTTGAACTGCAATTAGGTACAGCAGAGATATAAATTTGTCATGAATCCTGTGAGGGACAAAATCGCTTTTAGTATTTCAAGAAGGCTGTAGTCACGCTTTCTGCAAGTTGTGCGTGAACCTGATATGTATATCATTGTTTTATGTCTTATGTTGGCAAATCTTGTGTGGGAAATGGGCTTCTCGGAGTTTTGACATTGAAGTTTATTTTATTTCAGGAGTTGCAAAAAGGATAACAACAAAGGTGTGGTCATTGTTGGGTGTCCCGGATCGGGCAAAACTGCTGCCATACTGCAGTTAGTTGACTACAGCACCTTTGGTCGCAAGAAGGAAGAAGTCACCTATGGCACTGCCGGTCAGTAAATGTCTCCCCATGTGTCACACTGTAAATTTGGTTGGCCATATATAGGCTAACTCGGGTAGACCCGTAAGTTCGATATTAACAGCACAAGCAGCTTTCACTGGTCACCGAGAGAGGTGGATTCACGTTTCCTCGATAGCTTAATGGAACCATGTTAAAACACGATGGCGGAATGGGTGGTAGCATCGAAAGCGCACTACGAGGCATCTAATGTTCTTGGCAGGCCCGTACCCCCTAGGGAAAAGCTTATTGCTCTGAGCCTGGCATCCAGAGTTGTCACAACCATTAAATCATTGATGCAAACAATTATAAAGCCAGCTTTCGCCTATACAGGCCTCGCTGTACTTACGAGGAAACATAAATACATTGCGCTGCCATGGCAGCTCGCATACTAAGTTAGACTGCTGCGTTTTGACTAAATCAGTAAATCTGCAGTCAAATCTCATTATGTAAAACACGCTTAATTCGAACTTCCGGTTAATTTGAACTCATGTTGAGGTCTCGAAAAGCTATGTGTATTCCAATGGGCGAAAATGCCCGGTAATTTGAACGCCCAAGCACTTTTGACGAATAATTCGAACATACCGCGCTCCGAAAATACTCTCAGCACTTCGCCCAATCCCGCCGCGGCACCTGCGACACCTCAACGCTGCTGCGAAAGAAATGAAAAGAAAAAAAAAGGCTGCGGTGGAATGTTTGCTCTCTCTCAAAGGCCGATATGCGACGCACCCGTGTCACACTTCTCCCTTTTCCGTCCCTGCCACGTAAAGACCCTCCTCCTTCCAATGCAGCGTGCGAAGAGAGAGAGGAAAAAAAATTGGCCCTGTATCTGCATGTTAACCTGCAAATGTCGTCGAAAGACTATAGTCTTGCATGTGAAGAGAGTGAACAAAACATTTATTTGATGTTCTGCGCAAGAAAATCGATGAATGGTATTCCGGAGGCGCTGCGTTGAGTGCCTCGAGCGTGCAGCGGAGGCATGGAGGAAGGAAAAACTGAGGAGGGGCCCTGTCGTATCCCAATGCATTGCGAGAAGTGTGGTGGAAGTGACGTCAAGTTTATGGGGCAAACAAATTGGTATGGGGCAAACAAAACAGCAGACTCTCCGTTGCGTGCTCTCAGCACTGGTTCGCTTCTGCGCGGACTTATAGTCCCGGCGTAAACTTAACGCGTATTGTATGGTTTTTGTGCAGTGAAATGTTGCGAGCACACCTTCCCGGACTGTTCGTGCGTGGCAAGACCGAGCCCTGCATGCTCAAATACTTTGTGGAGTGTTATAATGTGTAACAGCACAGAAAGCACCGGTACGTGGCGTAACCAAAATCATTCAGCCCCTGCATTATTGCATTGGAACTCACACTGCAGTGACTAATGTGTTCTGCTCACCGTAAGGCCTTTATTTTCTTGACGAGATTTCGCGATATATGGGCCTATTTACAGTTTTTACTCGTATATAGTGTCAGTGTGACAATGCACAATTTTGAGAGCTTGCTTCATAGCGATTTTGTGCTACACCAGCCTAGTACTTGACGTACCTCACGTCGATAAGAAGGCACCACTGTATTGTATACACGATCGTGCACGCAAAGTGTGTAATTCCAGTGCGCACACAACTAACACGCAGTGAGCGCACATCGTACAACACATACACACTTAGTTCGATAACAAGAAAAGTTTATTCTCCTTCCGTGTGAACGACACAACTTCTAAATATGCGCCACGATGCCTACAACACCAAAAACGAAAGTTCGCGTGTGTTCTCATTTGACACGATGAGTAAGAAACAACTGAGCACACAGTTGAAAGCTCCGAATCAAATACCATGGCGAATACTATGCATTATTGATCAACAGTGAAGCGAACATACGTTCAAAGTGCCACCAGGTACATCCGGCAGTGATCGCGATTTACATTGAGTATACACTGCAACTGGGCATCACACAGGTTTCCATAAAAACATGCAAATGAAGCAGCACTCGTCAATTGACTCGCTGCCGGCCAGCGGCTGGTGCCGCTTCCGAGACTGCTGCGGCGGCTGCTCGCCGGAAATCGCGGAGTGTTTATCTGCTTCTCTGTTAGGGGCAGTGTGGATGTTTGTGACACGGCGGCTTCACAAATATGCCGTCATGGCTTCTCCTTAGTTTTTCCTTCTTCCATGAGCAGAGGCGAGCGCGCGCATCAAGTCACGTCACACGAGAGACATGAGCGCCATTTGGCAGTTATCTTGAAAAGCGGCTCTGAGACTGGTGTGCGCGCCCGTCTCCAAGGTGATGAGCTGTAGATCGCAAAGCGACAGGTAGGCGCCACCACCGTGTCGTCTTAGACACTTTCCTTTCCATGCAGGCGTTGCATGGTCAGCGTCGTGTGATAAACGCTACGGTCCTTAGAATAACTTATGTATGTCTTTTCTAGTAAAAGATGCACCTGCAGAATATATACATGTTGTCTGGTGCCCCAGACATGCGAAATAATTGCTTTTTAATTGACAATTGCACAAGTATGAACGCTAAATCTTGAGCAATATTGCTGGGTGCTGCGGATGGGGTCAGCCATTTCAAGTGCCCGATGCCGTTAAAGGTGGACGAACAGACAAATGTACAGACAGACAGACATCGCAGTTTTTGCGTCAAAGGTCCCCAAGAAAGACTATCGTCTTTAAAAAAAGAAAGCCGTCGCTGGGTCAAATGATCGTGTGATAGAAAGAAAGGAAAAAGGCACTATCTTCTGCAGCCCTTGCCCCTTGCGGGAGCATGGCTCTGCGCCTTGAAGGGGGGGGGGGGGCTCTCTCCTGCACCTGCGCCCCGTTTCCCCTTTCCCTTCCCTGCCACGTAACCCTTCTCCTTTCAACGACGCGCACAAAGAGAGCAAAAAAAAAAAAAGCTGCCGTGGAGTGTTGGTTTTTCTGAAATACTGATGTGCTTCTCTCCGCGTGGAGACGCTCCTCCTTTCTCGTCAGCTGCTGGCCATGGAGCAGCTGCGTAGCGGAGAGCGGGAGGCTGTGCTACGCAGCAGTCGTTGTCGTCGTCGTTTTTAGAAATTGTCGACGTAGGATATTTTTGCGCGCAACTTATGCTGAAGCGAAAGTAGAAATGCTTTGCAAGCTGCGTGGGAAATAATCATGATTGACTCGCTGCAAGGCAAACATGTGTAGACGCGCATCACCGATTACTTCAATTAGTAATGAATGTCCTGTGATTTGTCAATAAATGTAAGTCTTCTTAAACTTTCCCCTTGTGTGTTAGCTCAATGCACATGCGCCACTGCATGGAGAGCCCTCTGTTTATTTAGCTTTCATTAATTCGAACTTCTTTTAATTCGAAGAAATTTTCGAGCCCCTCTGAGTTCGGATTATCGAGATTCGACTGTATTTGCCGACTTGTTGGTGCTCTGTGCGTGGCACCTTCACCCTGCTGAAATGAGTTGCGTGTGTGAAAATTGAAACTCCCTGATTTGAATTTTGTGCTAAAACTGGCATTGTTGACACTGCATAACTAATAATTAACATCTGTGGTTTATCATCCTAAAAGCGAGACATGAGTGTCCTATTGGATGGTTCTGGAAAATTTGACCACCTGATAACGTGCATCGACAATGCACAGTACTCGACCATTTGCCTCTACGTTCGCCTGGTGCGAACCCGTGACCTTTGGATCAGCAGCTGAGCACCAGCGCGGCAGACGACACTCTCTTGAATCTTAATCCATATTATTTTGGCAATTTTTTCACAGCAAACGTTCATATAAAATCTTATGTAGCGTTAATTGTTTATTTTTAATGCAGTATTGTTTTCTTAATTATACTGTCAGTAAACAAATATCCAGAGTCAAACAAATATGGCTGTTAAACTTTAAAATGTCATTAATTAAGTCAGGAGCTTCAAGGCAGCTTTGCTGCCATTTTTAGTGTATGTTTTTATGCGTACATTCTAGCTTTCCACTCGTCCTTTTGCAAGGAATAATCTTGCATTTGTGCAAGCACTGTTGCAATGACGTGTGCGCACTCATACATTGATCTCCAGCCTGCCCTTTGTACTTCAGAAGAATGGCTAGTTGGAGGTAGGCAGCACTGTCCTCGAGATGCTAAACTTAAAAAAAAAAAATTAGACAAGAAATGAAACAATGCCATACCATCACATATCGCCAAAGTGTACAACTTTTTGTCCTATGCTGCTCTCTGCGATTCTGGACCACTGAAAAGGGCTGCGTTTTGAGCTCTCAGAGCAAGCAAGATGCTGAGCAATAAGATAGCGAAACATGGGAATTACAACCACACCATTACAACTCTCATGCCTTTATGATATTGTTGACTGTCTCGCAGCCAAGGCTAATGCTTCTTTGGTGAGGCAAAGCTAACTTTAGCGAACTTACTATTATGCTACCACGCATGTCTGACAAACGCACTAATCAATGTAGTCGTATCTCAAAGCGTTGTAAAACACATCTGTGATGATGACGCGTGGCGATTATTTCTCAGGTGTGCGCCACTGCGAACCGGAGCGTCACGGTACGTTGGGCGGCAGCAGTGTCGGGAGCGGCTCGGCTTCGTCGATTTACCAGCCGCGTCTGAGTGCCAAGCAGGACGGTGCACGTTGCCTAGGAGGCCACCTAGTTGCCTACCACTTCTGCCAGGCGGACAACAACGTCACCTGCCTGGTGTCGGAGTTTGTGCACAGCGTGGCCGCCCAGCTCTGCCAGGCTCCCCAGCTGGTGGCATACCGTGACTTGCTGCTCCGAGACCAAAGGTCAGCTAATAAGTGCCTTGGCATGTGATTAGGGCAGTAGGCAGAATTTTGAAGGGGGGAGGCAGGGGGGAAGACACATCTTTAATTTGAAGTGGGAAAGGCCAAGCAAGGGGTAATATTGCGCTCTGTATGCCATGGCGAGAAAAAAAATGGGGGTTGGGGAGGAGGGCAGGGGTTAGTTGTGCGACTCCCTAGCTTCGCCACTGGCTTTCATGATACTAGAATGATGCTAACATGGAATCCTTGCGTCATTCGGGGTTTCCAGCATCACACCTGAACAAATTTTGTCTTTTCATGGTATGACTTTTCATGGTGGCGAGTGGTATTACTCTTTTTAGGCTTGGCTCAGTAATTCTTATTCTTCTTTTATTTATTATTTTCTTGCATTAACAGCTATACAGCAACACTTTGTGTAACAAGAGCACTTTTGAAATGTGGGAGAATTGTTTTATCGTGATTAGCATTTTCTCCAATTATGGGCAATCAAACTGCATAGCTAACAGATGTTCACCGTACTTGGTTTGCAGACGCTGTTTGAAGAGTCTATGTGACATGAGTGTTAGTCCAATGAACATTTGAATTATTTTTTAACATGAAAGTGTTTTATGCTGGGATCCACCATCGCTCCGCGTATGTATTTACATCACAGATATGTACGTAAAAATATAAGCTAACAGATTGCAAAGAAAAACGAGAAGAAAAAGTTTCGCTGCTAGGCATCGATCCTATGACCTCTTGCTCCCCAGTGCTGTAAGTGAGCGCATGTTGACCAGCTTGCTAAACATGAGCCGTTTATATACATCATGTATTCTTGGTGGTCCTCAGAGCTCAGCTACTTCAGTGCGCTTTTGTCATCGATTGCAAGATTGCACGAAGAGTGTGGTTGGGCATGCTCTAATGGTCGTCGTCCCGAGCACTGCGATGCGCATGCGCCTTCACTGGGGTGGGAGCTTATGCTTCCACCGCAAGTTTGCTTTGAAGTTGCAGGGGTTGAGGGTTGCATGGAGGTCACTTTGGTCACTTCGCTCGCTTCCACGTTAACGAAAAGAGTGCACTGCTCACATCTGAACAAGAATTGTGACAGCTGTTCGTGCTTGTCCTGTGTATACTTGTGTATTTGTTTCGTGCATTTTTCTTCCTGTTTGAACAGCACGCTTTAGTGTCAAGCTGTCACAGTTGTCAGTCCACACTCGTGGTGTGTGCTCATTTCGTGCATGCTTTGTGCTAGTTGTCCGTTCTTCGCGTGACATTACAGTTTGTTTCTGCGACATTCATCCCATCATCCTGGTGGTGAAACAATGCACAATAAACGCTCAACTACCTTGGTGAATAGATATTTCACTTTCGTGTTATACCAATTTCTAGACAGAGGGATCAGCCATGTTTTTTGTATATAAGCTTCTGGGAATAATCGATGATCTCAACTGTTAGACCAAATTGTAGGACGTTGGATATTCTCCTTGGCTGAGATATTAGTATTCGATTCCTTCAGAGCGTTCGAAACCAGTGAACATGCGCAGATCTCGTGTATGACTTGCCTGAAAGGGAGGTTTCTCTTCATCAATGTCCGTGCTGCCGTGAAGTTACTTTTTTGAATGGCATTCGCGCTGGCGTGAAGCCACACCTCAAGGAGAGATTTGCGAATCGTCACTACCGGGCTTCAATATATCTTCACAGTGGGTTTTACGCGCATACCGCAGTAAATTTTGAACCATTTCGTATTCAGCAGCATATATCATTCTCAAAAACTGCAGAAGACTGCAATAGCCCACACAACACAAATGCAAGCTGAGGACGTCCTCAGCATGCCTCCATGAGGACAATATGGTGCCCTAAGAATGTTCTCTCATGGTACGAGAATGGCACTAATCCAGTCCTCTTGTTCATACACATAACAACCTCAGCACATTCTCAAAACAACACTTGAGGACTTTTTCAGTATCTTTTCAGAACAACGATTGTGCGGTCGGTTGGTTCTGTATTGTAGGCTGCGATAATTTAAGGTTTAATGGTATTTACATTCTTCAAAGAAAAACACCCGTGAAGTCTCGTGTATGTATACTGTATCAAGCAACAGAGAGATGACAGTGTTGGTTTATTACAGTAAAACAAACTAAGCTTTTTAACAGAAATTTATTTATTTATCAGTATTAGTCACAATTGACAGCTTTGGCAGGAATTCGAGTCCGTGTATAGTCTGAAAAAAGAAAAACAATATCAAGGCAGTCAACACAGCTCAATCAACTATCTTTGTAATGTTCCTCGACACTTTGACAAAGTGTCCTCATCACCAGGTGTATCGTGCTTAATGCAAGGCCCGTGTCGAGTGCACTGGTAGGCTGTTAGAGGCTCGCTCTGACAGCCTGCCAGTACACTCGATATGGGTCTTGAGTTAACCTGCCCAAAATCGGGCCACGTGACAGACGCAGAAGTCGGTCCCTTCACGTTGGGACCAGGCTACTTTGAGGCACAATTGATTGCGATTGGCTGGTGTTCCAAGCTGCTTCAGAGCACAGCTCGCTGCGGTCGGCTGCTGGCAATACATCCATAATAAGTCTGAACTTTGAGCTGCATGGTGCACTTATCAACACAGGCATTGACCTCCCGTCATTGCCTATGCTTTACACTCTCTCACATATATCACTTTTAACCGTGTTGTCATGGGGTCGTGACGTGCCCGAAGACAGGAAACTTTATGTTGGGATTTAACTGTTTATTTGGCCGAACCTGTGCCCGGTAAACGGAAAGTTCGATTACAGTAGCAGTCTTGAACTGATAACGGCGAACTAAGCGTCGTCTGTAGATCAACTACTGACAAGCGGTGAAGCGCGTCGGCATTTATACTCTTGCCGTCGAATGTTCTAGCGTTATCGCTGGCGGTGGCATAGGTTCCAGAATAATCTGTACAGTTCGCAGAGTAGGCGTGATCTTATCAAAATGATCTACTACAGTCCGGAAGCTTCTCGAAAACTGTAGGTGCGGTTTGCGCTGAGAATTGTGTAGTGTTTTGCGACGATAACAAAACTTGGGAAATGGAACGTGGCAATATACACAAACAAAGGACACGAACATTCACTAATACACGCCACCTTCTCCAGCAGATCCCATCTCGACAGCCAGTTGGCTTGGAATGGCTTGACCACTTGACTATTCAGAACGGCACCACATGTTCAGTGGTTGCCAGCTTCTAGTTTGTTATTACGCGCTACAGCGGCGTATACTGACTAACAGATGTGCATTTAAGAGCAGACTATTTCAATTGAGCATTTTGCAATACCAGGTTCGATACCCAAGCTGACTATTCATGCATGTTTCATGAAGCCGAATCCATAGTTTGGAAGTTTTGTGCCAAGATAGAAGAAAACGAGGCCAAATTGTGCAATAACATTATGACTGTATGAAACGGACGTATGGAGGGAGAAAATTTTTACATATGATATCCATCTACTTGGTGCACAGGTTTTGAGGAATTATATCCAAGGGCTCAGTGCAATGCTTTTGTCATTCCCAAAAGGTCCCTGGCAGGACCTTTTCTGGACCAATTGTTGTCCTCACGAAGCTCTCATAAAGACATTTCCGGGTCAAACAAGTTTGTGTCGTCCTTAGTAAGTACCAAGGTCAATGAGAACTGTGCGAGGACGATTGTACTATTTTAGGATGACCTCAGGACATCGAGTGTTGCCTGTGTTGTCTGAGAAGGGTCCACGGGTTGTGTTTGCATACTGTTACATATTGGGCATTGTCTATTATGATATTTCGCATGATATTGCTAAAGAAAGTTTTGATGGCGTCTTATTTTTGGGACATACCTTTTCTTTAGCTGGTTGGATTATTTTTTTGGGCTGCACAGCCAATTTGAATGAATTTGCGTTGAAGCAGCACTTAACTGCATCTCTCGTGGCTGACTTGCAGCTAAGCAGCACAGGTCAGCCAGGGTGGCACTGAATGGCAGGATGTCGTGAGATGTGCACCACTCATCCCGTGTGATCATACATGTTGACTGTACTGAGGGCCTATCAAGTTCATCTGTGTGCTTGCAGAACGAAACTGCATTAGCTCGCACGTAGGGGCAAGTCATAGACAAAAACATTGTCATTTCTCATTGTTTTATGTTTCTCAGAATCTGACATTTGTGTTGAAATTTCGCACAGATGTCGCCACTCGGGATACTCACTTCGATCTCCCATTCAAGAACAAGTTATTTGCACAAGCGTAGACATTAGCTTGTAAATTAATAAAGCATTTATTTATTTATTGATGAATAGTAAACAAATAAACAATGCTTGCAGCATGTGTTGGGTATTACACAAATATTCCTGTTTCTGGTACGATTTTATCATAGTGGTGAGGACTTTGTTGCTGTGTAACTTTACTAGGGCCCGTACAATGTTACCCAGCGCTTGCCTAAGAGTTCACTTTGATATAAGCACAGAAGGTGTAGCATACAATACTCACTGTATTCTGAAGGAGTACGTATAAAGAGCTTGTACGTATTAGGTGTGTTTATAACATTAATTCCTAAATCTGTTGACCTTTCTTTTTTTTTCATTACATCTTAAGGCCCTCCTTAGCATTATTTTAGTGTACTAACTCAACCTCAAAGGTTACAAAACTGCATGAGTGAATAGAAAATTACTTGTAGACAAAGAACAACCAGGAACAGAGCAAAATAATTTAAGATGAAAACACATCTGATGTGTGCATCAAGTGAAAGAAATGAAGACGTATAGCCTTCATAATGCATAAGAACAACAAGATTTATTCCAAGAGAAGTGGCACATAGTCCAGTGAGATCAGATCAGAAAGACTACTAAGTAACCTGGCATATATGGCGTAACTGATGATCTCTAGGAGAGGCTACTCTGCTGCAGTAAACATGCGCAGTGTGAGGCTGTGTCTTCTGGGCTATTCGTAAGTAGCTTTTTTTCTTGCAGACTTCAAGATGTACTCAGCCTGTCTTCATGCCAGACGGACCCTCACGAAGCCCTGGTGAAAGGCATCTTGGAACCGTTAAGCTCCCTGAGGCAGGCAGGTCGAATCCCAAACACCCAATGCTTTATTGTTGTGGATGCACTCAATGAAGCTGAACTGCATCGGCCCGACTATGGAGACACCATTGCCTCTTTTCTGGCCAGGCATATACTCAAGTTCCCTGCATGGCTCAAGGTACACTGAGACTTACTACAGAGGATCGCCAGTAGTATTTGGTATAAATGAATTATCTGTATGAAGCAGAAGCTAACACGTAATCATGATTGCATGGACATTTACTTACTTTCAACAGCCAGGCATTGCAAGCACATTTGGTGTGTCAGAAACTGCCAAAGAAAACTGTGGGTTTAACTCTGCGATTCCCACGCACAGTTATACCTTCATAAAAATTGCGGGAAAAGGCTGACTGTTTCTACTCTCCTTGTAGAGTTCATTTCAAGAACAATACCAATGAAATTTTGTTTGAGGCATAATTTAATTAGCACTAATTGTAAATAATTATTTTCTATCATATAATATGCAAGTCACTCTTCTTTCTTCATAACATGTCAGATCTGCAATAGCTGCTCATCGTGACACCTATAGTAGCTATATTGATGTATTATATTCAATGTACCAAATATGACACAGTGGGCGTTACTGCCAGTGCACTGGTGCTGCGAGGTTGAAGTTTGCGCAGTCGTATAACTTCATTCTCAATTATTGTTATCTCTTCAGTCAGTCTGGTTTTCTTATGTGGAAACCTACTCATAGGCATGTGAATGCTGGTTCAAATGAACACTGTTTTCTTCTTTTATGTTGCAGCTGATAGTTACTGTACGGACAGCATTCCAGGGAGTCAGCCAAATGCTGCCATTTCACCAGATCTCTTTAGATAGGGTGTCTTGCAACGAGAACCTAATGCGAGACATTGTGGGCTATGTGCTCTTTCGAATCGAGTCCAGTCCCTCAGCACGGGCCAACATCACAGTCAACAATGGGAAGCAAGATGGCTCAACACATGCAAGGTACGACTCTTTCATGACTGGCACTGAAAATTTTCTGGCCTCTGGTCCATAAAAGTAATTTTGCAGCAGTATTGAAATTTCGCTTGTTCTATACACTTGTGAGGCAGTGAGGAATGTTCATTTATGCTCTGTTCTTTCAAAAACCACACTTATACAAGATACAAGAGTTTCAAGAGGACGAATAATTCACTAGTTCTTCCTTGGAGGTGTAATACCAATAGAGGCCTGTGGATTACTTTCTGTCTCTTGACTGTAAAGGGGCATTCATCGACTAATATTGAAACTTGTATCTCGCATTCCTTGTCCAGGTTTGCCAATCATCTGGCCAACTTAAGCAGGGGTTGCTTCCTATATGCCAAACTGACCATGGACCTCATCGAGCGTGGTCACCTGGTGGTCAAGAGCAGCAGCTATAAAGTCCTGCCTGTCAGCCTCAGTGAAGTGTACCTGCTGAACTTCAACCTGAAGTTCACAACAACCAGAGCATTTGAAAGGGTGTGTGAGATGGACAGTTCACACTTGTTTCAAATAGGATTTTTAGACTATGATTTCTCATAAGGAACACCCAAAGAATTTGTTGACACAACCATAGTGGAATTAAGGAACCAAAACCAATCATATATCTAGATGTAGATGTGTGAAATGCTCTTTATTATGTCACTGATGTACTTTTATTACACTTACTGTCATCTTTCTGACGGAAATCATATGATTGACAACTAGCTTGGCTTTCTCCTATCTACTGTCGAACCACTTCCGCTTTCTTTCATCATCTTCACAACATGTCTTCTATTCATCTAGGAGGTACATTGTCGTGCATATAAAAACCTAGTGACTCAACCAATTTTGATAATCAACAGCTATAGGATTAGCTTAACTGATAATAGTCCTGTAAATTACCACTTCACAGATCTCCTACAGCTCCTTAGTTTATCCATTTGTTAGCAACTACAGTCGAATCTCATCAATTCGAGCACGCTTAATTCGAACTTCTGGTTAATTCGAACTCACGATGAGGTCCCGTCATAGCTATGTGTATTTCATTGGGTGAAAACGCCTGGTAATTCGAATGCACAAGCACTTGCGACGGTTAATTCGCACATACCGCGCTCCGAAAATGCTCTCAGCACCACCCCGCCCGATCCCGCGCCGGCACCTCCAACACCTAAATGCTGGGCAGGAAGGAAAGGAAAAGGAAAGAAAAAGCTGCGGTGGAATGTTTGCTGTCTCTCAAATGCTGATCTGCGATGCGCCTGTGCCACGCTTTTCCATTTTCCGCCCCTGCCGCGTAAAGACCCGTCTTCTTCCAACGCCGCGCACAAAGAGAGAGAGGAAAAAGAAAAAAAGCTGTCGCGGAGTGTAGCTTCCCCTCATGCGCCGGTGCCACACTCTCTCTTTCCCGTCTCTGCCACGTAACCTTTCTCCTTTCAACAATGCGTTCCAAGAGAGCAAAAAAAAAAAATGCTGCCGTGGAGTGTTGGTTCTCTCTCAAATGCCGATCTGCTTCTCTCCGCGTGGAGACGCTCCTCCTTTCTCATCTTGTGTTGTCCGCGCTGCGGCTTTGGCGCAGAGAGAAGTAGCGGAGATACAGTCGTTGTCGTCGTCTTCAGAGAGTGTCGGCGCTGGACATTGATTGCCGCGCGCAACTTCTCTGGCCAGGAGAATGCTGAAGCTGAAGTAGCCATGCTTTGCAAGCTGGGTGCGAAATCGATTGACTTGCTGCAAGGCAAATGTGTGCAGACGCGCTTCACCGATTACTTTAAATAATGATGGATGTCCTGTGATTTGTGAATAACTGTAGGTCTTCTAAACTTCCCCCTTGTGTGTTAGCTCAGTGTACATGCACCATTGCATCGAGAGCCCTCCGTTTACTTAGCTTTTTTTGATTCGTACTTCTTTTATTTTGAACATATTTTCGAGCCCCTTCGAGTTCGAATTATCGGGATTCGGCTGTATATCGCGAAAAAGAAACTTTGCATACTGCTGCCAATAGAAATCAGTGCTATTGAAGAAATGTGAAATCAGGAGCCAGATGTGCAAAGCCCTCAGCTAATCATTTCCAAAGCTTGTATGAAAATTGGTCTAAAAGAAGTAATTGTTCGGAACCATGCAGTATTTGCTTTCTGCAACATGACATTTTTTATTAGCACTTGTTCTTCATCACAGTTGCTGAAAGATGGCATTTAACTGCTAAGGAGAGGCACTTGAATTGGGTCCAGTGTAGCATTGATTTTCTGTGACATCTTTTTATCCCACATTGACCAGGCATTCATGATGTTTCTACTTCATCTCATCATTTTAATGTGTTGAGATACATTATTGTTTTAGACAAGATGTACCGTGTTTGTTACCACAAATTGGTAGACTTTATTTTAGATGCCTTCAGGACAAATGCGAAAGGACTAACTTTTGCCCATGAGCTTCCCAACGACAATGTTTTGCAGTTTTAAATATTAACATTGCTATGAAAAATGATCACGCTTGTAGCTGTTACTTTCCTCGCAGTTAAAAAGCACTCTTACTATACGACTTTGAATATTTTAAAACTGTAAAGTATGGAATTGCTCTGGCCCAACCACAGTTGTCTAGTGATTAAGGTACTCGGCTGCTGAGCCGCAGGTCACAATATTGAATCCTGGCTGCGGTGGCTGCATTTTCGATAGAGGCAAAACTGCTTTAGGCCCATGTGCTCAGATTTGGGCGCACATTAAAAAAACCCTAGGTGGTCGAAATTTTCGGAGCCCTCCACTACGGCGTCTCTCATAATCATATGGTGGGTTCTTGACTTTGAGCCCCACATACCAACCTGGAATTGCTCTGCATTGACTTGAATCTGCTCTGCGCAGGTCATGTGCGCACATGATCCAGGGTGGCCTGCATACTCCTTGAAAAGGAGGTCTTCCCTCGGACGGTCTTCTATTTAGTGACCGAATCCTTGCTACAAAAGCTAAAGATCGGTTCTCGGGCAGAGCACTTGAGAGGGCGACAGTGTGTGAGACCACAGTTAGTGCCATATGTGCATGAAATGGGACATAATCTGTAAAAGGTGGCTGAAAGTTATCAAATCCCCGTCTTATTTTCCGCTTCAAATAAATTGGCGCAGCCATTGGCAGGAAATCTTTTGTGCTAAGCCACAAGGGTGCCAAAAGAAGCATATGACACCTTTTCCAGACGTTCTGCCATAGGTGTCGTCTACGAGATTCCTCTTACTTGGAGCAGGTCTTATATTCGACAGAGGGGGCGATGTATTAATGACTGACAGTGGGAGAATGCCAGTACAATAGGAAAAAGTGACGGTGCGCATCTTCCGGCACATGTTAAGTCATGCTCATGATTTCCCACAAGTCAAGATAACAGGCAACAGTAGGAATCGAATGGTCAGGGAGCTATTAACAATAGAGGAAAGCAGTCTGCCTGCATCAGTGACACATAAGTTGTGCTATATAGATCCGAGTTATCCTTTTTATCGAGCAACTTTCTGGTTGACATGCATGTTTACTTGGCTTGCAGCCTTTGCTGTCAGTTGTTCATGTTCCTTTCCAAGCATTGTGCCAAAAATAGTAACATGTTCAGCAACCTTGTGCACCAGCTTGTCGAGGAAAAAGTTCTTCTCATGCTGTTTCACCACACCACGTATCACGAACTAGCAATTTCAGAATAAACGGACCTTTTAAAAATAAAATTATGTGAAAAAAGCATAGGATAATGTCAAGTGCACGAGAACACCGATTCCATAAGAGTCTCCATAAGAGCCAAAACGTGGACCAGCCCAGACAACAGAAACACATCTTCAGTGCGGGGAGATGATTTAGACTTTAACCAAAAGTTTTTAAGAAACCCGACGTTTCGGAACCGACTTGGTTCTTTCCTCAGGGGTGACTGTGGAGGCTACTAGCAGGGTCACCTTCAAAGCACTCGCGGGGTGGCTAATAACCCCCCTCTCTCTCTCGTTTTGCCGTGGATTGCAGTCCATGTGAATACACTGGGGGGAGGGTTCCGAGAGAGTGGTTGATATTATGGGCTGTCCTCTGTATGTGCGACGACTCGAGTAACAACCTTCTCATCCAGTTCGGCTCGCTTTCAAGGATGGCCGTTGCTTCAAAAGTTATTTTGTGATCCAACTTCTCAGCATGTTCGGTGACTGCGCTGCGCTCTTTGTAGAAATTCTGCACATCGTTGGCATGTTGCTTCAGTCGTTCCGGTAGGTTTTTCGTCTCGCCGATATACGACGAGGGGCACTTGGCACAGGGAATTTTGTAAACGACACCGGGGCACCTGTCCATTGTTGGCCGGTCTTTCGGGCGGAGGAGGAGGCGGCGCAGCGTACACGAAGGCATGTGCGCGATGCGAACTCCTTCCTTCCTGAAGATTCGCGCTAACATCTCGCTGGTTCCCTGAATGTATGGAACCGGTACGCGTTTCGGGGGGGGCTGCCAATTGAAGTTGATTGGTGTTTTCGTATCCTCTGTTGCTCTGCGCGGCGGGTGGTGGCTCAAATGAAGTTCTTTGGGTACGTATCCGTTTTTTCTGAGGTCAGCAATTAAGCAGGCCTCCTCTTTCTTTCGCTCGGAGTCTAAATCATCTCCCAGTTTCATACCCAACCAGACAGACTTCTGTCGAATGTTTACTTTCAAGTCAATCACATCTTCAGTGCGTTTTAAAACATTTTTGAAGATCCACAAATTGTTCACACGAGCATTTCTGTCACTATTTCAGGATTTAGAAGGGATTGAAATATACTCAAATCGGTCCACCAGGACATTTTACGTACCGTCTGAGCTACCCATTAGGACATTTCTGGGACATTTTGCGTACCGAGTGAGCTACCCATCAAGACATTTCTGGGACATTTTGCACACCGACTATGCTACCCACCAGAATTTGTTGTACGCTGAATTGCTGTATTTTACATTTTAATTTTATGTGAAGATAACGTTAGAGCATGGTTGTGTATTAATAGTATAGAAACGCGCCAGTGGCGATGTAGACAATGCCCATGCAGGGTACGAGGCTGTGCTACCCGCTGAAACAAGTCCAACTGCGGCGGCTGCATTTTCGATGGAGTTAGCTGCTGGGAGTTTCTGAAATACTTTATTCTGATGCGCCGGCCAGCAAAGCCAATAATAAAATCCTTCAAATGATGAGGGGAATGATGCACTCGATAATCTTCATTCGTCAGAATAATCAGAGTGCATTTCCCGGGATCCTAAAAGAAAGTAAGCTTTTCTGAGGACAGTAGTTAGAGATATACTGTACATAATTCACAAGCACAGCATGGAGCCACAGTGTTTTACAAAGTCTGTAGTATAGTGCAGTACATGGCAAAATTTGTGCAGATGAAATATCCTGTGTGTCTCCTGATATATGGGACAAAAGTCTTGGCAAATGCATCATAAACTATGCTGTGCAGCTTCACAGTAATTGACACACCATTCAGCAGAAAACACCCAGCAAGCAGTCATTTATTTCTTCAAGAAAGTGCTACAAAACATATTTGTATTTTGTAGTTTGGTATAGCTGAAAAAAAAAACTCGCAACAAAAGGTTCTCAATTTTTGAAATCCCGAATGCGACCAAAGATTGCCCTCAAACTTTTGGCTAGTGGCGAACCGTCAATATTCAAACATAGGCTTAGCTCGTTAGGCAAAGGTGTAGATTCCAGCAGTTTACCACAGTCCCAAAATGGTGAAACTTCCCTCCTGCCAGTTCTCTGACGTTAAGGGGCCCTACCTGGAGTTTGCAAGAGTATCTTAGCAGAAGAGGGTAGTGACAAGAAATAAGAGTGACTCTGTAAAACTGGCAGCAGTGTCGTGACAGCGGCATGCGAGCACCACTATTCTACCACTTGTGCTTGTAATCTTTGCCAGAATTTAGGCAGACTGATTTTGTCATCATGAGACATGATGCCTCAACTTAGACGGTCATAATCTGCACATCACTGCTGAGTAAGCGCCGGTTATGCTGCAACGAAAAGGCTCGTCATCACAAGTTCACGTCGTCACTGCACGAGCCACCACTGATCGGACCACTTACTAGATTTGCAACACGCTGAAACACCACATGTGCATTATCATTAACAAGACCGGCAGAATCACCACTAAGGTCGGGACTATGCGCTACCTTTTCATTGTGTTGAGTCGCTTAACCTTGAAGTAGGGCCCAGCTAGTAGATATTGTGTCGAGCCGAGAAAATTATATTTTTGTGGACTCGGTCGGACTTTGAGAGCTACACGCTGACTGTGCGAGGTCATTGTTTATGCTTACAGTTCAACACACGCATCGACGCCGCACTTTTGTTCGCGGCGAAATATTCCTTCATTGCTTTTTGCCATCACTAATACACAAAATGACGACTGTAACAATTTCAAGAAACAGGGTGGAACTCGCCAATGTTCCTGACTGGGTGCGCCTTCCCACATGCAGCCTCTCCACATGCCACCATTGAAGTGCAGAAAGGAAGCGGAAGACACGTTTGAAGACTGCTATAGCCACTAGATGTCTACTTTTTTTTTTTTATCGCGATAGCAATTATATGGACACTCCTGGCTGGACTTCGCCGCCGGGGCCAGTGTTTAAGTGGGCGTTGGTGTCGATGTCATGCACCGTATATGTCTACATATATATATATATTAAAATGCAATAAGGAAAGAATTCAGAAAAATGACTTTGACGTGCTAAATTGAATGTGAGCCCTCCGTGTCGTGATTACGAGGCGTTAACCACTGAGCCACTTAGTGGTACCTCTTTCAATGTTCAAACGGCACGCTATTTGTATCTACTACTTACCGCTGTTGACTGGCATCTCGGGAGGGGGGGAGGATACTATCGTGTTTTCAGCATTATCAGCCAGATGGCGCAATGAGCGCGCGGAGGCTAGAGACAATGTATATGCTACCTTGAGGTAGCAGAGTTGCACATACCTTTTTCTTCCGCCGCTCGCGCCGCTATTCCGTGAGCGCTGTCACGTGATGCAAAGTGAGGTCAAATGTTCCAATCCACGCGGCGAAGCCAACTTAACGTCCACGGTGGCGCAGCGCTCACGCGTTCTCTGCCCGCACAGATTTCAGCCTCATCGCGACTGCCATTAGGGGTTTTACCTCGTACATGTACGATTTGCATAACCATGTTATCAGATAGAATGTGCGCATGCGCGGGTCTTCACAGAATGTAAATCTCTGCGTAACGTAAACTACCCGCCACGTAGGCTTTACGTTTACAGAGCTGTTTCACAAATCCACCTTAATTCATAGAACCTCGCGATATCCGCATTGCGGAGACTCCAGGCATCAGGTCAAAATAAGCAGAAGTGCGAGTGCCGATAGTGATTACGTTGTTTCAGCCGGATTATCAAAGCTAAAATGGCTAGAACTTGGAAGCCACAAACGTGTGAGCCCCGATAGACTGGATAGGTGCCACCATCTAGCAGTCTTAAAAGGAACCAGGCGGTCACAAAATTGTTTTTGCAGAAACATTGTGCATTGTACATCTGTTGTGAAGACCTGCGTTGCGGCGTTATGATGGATGAGTTAAGATTTTTAATCATTTTCACCTCAGTCATTTAATTGTTGAGTTTAACTTCTCGATACTACCATATATGAAAGAAAGACGCTGTAGTGTAGGGCTCCGGAAAGTTTGACCACCTGGGATTCATTAACATGCACCTAAATCTAAGCACATGGGCCTCAACCAGTTTCGCTACCTATAGCAACATACCGCCTCGCTGTAATCGTGTAATAATCTTGTTCAGCGCGTTCGAATAAGTCTGCGGCACGCCGCCCGCGCCGAAACATCGCGCCGCATTTTTCACCTGCGTCCGTGAGGAGTGGCTTCACTGCACAGCCATGGAAACATAATGGCAGGACCTATGTGCAACTCTGCTCCCGTAGGGAGCATATACAGTAACTCTAGCGGCGGCTCTCGCCTCTCACGCGTACTTTGACCCGCAGGAGAGGGCAAAAGTATGTGTGAGAGATGATCTCTTGCGCGCTTTTATCTCCCTGTGAGGAGGATCTTATGTCTTGGCTTGTGTTGGACTTGCACTGGAATGATTATGTTGTAGTCAGGGAGTGCACAAAGGTAACTGCAATCGTTGCACAGGCTCCGTTTGCTAAAAGGGTGCGCTTTGCAGACACAGCGAAGTAACAACTGAGGCGCTTATTCGCGTTCATGTGTACCTGTGAGAACATTTCATGCGTGATTTGTGCGTGAGAAACATGGGGCACATTTCGATCTGCTTCCCATTCTGCACGTGCCTTCGAGTTTGCTGCTATCGCGTTCATTGCTTCGCCTTTGCAGCAAAACTGTGACTTTTTTTTTTTTGTCCAAACCTCGAGTCGCAGTGTTTCCAGCGGTCAGAAATCCGAGAAATTTAAACATATGTCATCGGATTTCAACTTCGCGAGGGTTATTGTCCCCCTAACTAGGACATTTTAAACAATCGGAATAACCAAGCATTGCATGCCAAAGTCATATGTATTCATTCAAAATAAGGCAAAAATGTGCGTCGACAATCATGCTTTCAGGATATTACTAAATGTATTTTTTATAATGCATCTGCAGTCAAATGGTGTTCATTGCACAAATCTTGTAATTTCTATTCATGAACAGACAAGTGGGTTGCTGTCTTAAACACGTCCACATAAGAACAATTTAAGGATAATCCCGCAAACATTGTTCTGAAAACATTTTTAGGATGCTGCCAAGCAAACGAGTACGTTTGTACTTTTTGAAGACGAGCATAAGATGTTCACTGTTGTCTGGGCATTTTTGTTGACCTTACATTACATTCAATAAGTGTTTGTCTTGTCTGCTTGCAGGTGCAAAATCTCCTGCAGGTTTGCATGGCATCACTGTATCCTCTGCGTCCACACGAGCTATATCACAGTGTGAATGCAAGCGCTACGTACGAGCCCATGACGTGGGCGGATTTCCAGCAGCGTTTGACAACACTGACCAGTGCTCAGTTCATCATACAGCGTAATGATGACTCACTTATGCTGGCCCATCCTTCTCTACGAGAGTGGCTCATTCGTCGAGATGAGAATGACAGCACTAAATTCCTCTGCGATATCAGGTAGGCATCACAACACTTGCTAGGCATATTCTTTGTGTCGTAGCGATAACAGTCGCACGAGATGGTGACAGTTCATGATTTTGAAACGGTGCAACCAAGGGAGGATATATAGAAAACAATACACCCCCAACTGTCAGTGCTAAATCCTGTTGTCGTGTATCATTTGTGTTTATTTTCTCTTGGTTGCACCCATTCATCATTCTTTGTGCCCTCAGTGTTCACTACATCCTCATTGACCTCAGTAATTCTGGCATTTATATCGTGACTAAGGGCAATGCTGAAATGCCATCTTCTAAGCTGTGACTCATTTACAGTATAGACCGCTTATAACATAAGCCGCGGGAGTCGTGAATATCCGCACCATAAGCGGTACCCCACTATAACCAAAACAACCTTTTCAATGGCCGCACTTGTGCGAAACGTGTTGGGCATGCAGCTTCGCATGTCCGAGAATCGAAACATGCGATGTTTGCTTGCTAACATTTAAATTTCTGAATGTTAATAAAAGTTAATGTCCAAAGACACGCGTTGCCAATGAAATGAATGCGAAAGGAGGGGGGGGTCTAAAAAATTAAAGTACCATAGCCGAAATTCGCCGACTACCATACCGCCTCGATTATGCACATTACACAAAAACTATGTCGAATCACATTCAGAATTTGACGCGTTGAAAGACGACAATTATCGGATTTCACGGGTGCGCACCTATATTTAAGACATTGCAATCGAATCACGAACCAATAAATATTATAATGTATAATGTATCAATAAATAAAATAAATGACCTCCCCAACAATATTGTAACACAACCCTCGCTTTCTTTGTTTGAAAACTATTTGCAGTAGCTCATTAGCACCGTTTGATATTGTCACGCACCAAGAGTCGTAGAGACAAGACAGGAACAGCGGGGCAGAAAGACACGAGCGTGTATCTTCAGAACGAGGTGCTAACCACACTTCTTCTTCGTTCTCTTTGCCCTTTTTGGCTCGCTAGGGCTTGCCGGCTCACAACTCTAGGTGGCATTATTCCCCCTCCCATTAGAGCATCGACTCGATGCTCATACACAAGGGGCCGGCAGGGCCGATAAGAAAAAAAAGAGAGAGAGAGAGAGAGAAACGGTACCTATAGTGCACAGGGCATATGCAGGTGCAAAAAAATATTGTCTGAGGTTGGTCATAAGAGAAAAAACCATTAACTGAGTTCACAGTTCGTTCGAGACCTAACAGACAATGTCAAAAAAAAAAAAAAAGGAAATGTTTGCTGCCCGGGCACAATAAGGCGAGTATCACCGCGTAATATAAGGTTTTAGGCGGACGACATGCACAATCTCTGTTCGTGGTGAGTGGCGTTGGGTTGTTGCCGAGCCTCCGTCTGGAATAACTTCGTAATTGACCTCGTTCAACTGCCGTAGTACTTTGTAGGGTCCGAAGTATTTGCTCAGGAGTTTTTCGCTGAGACCTCGCCGTCTAACAGGAGTCCAAACCCACACTTGGTCGCCAGGTTTATAGGAGACTTGTCGATGGTGGATATTGTACCTTCGGGCGCCTTCACATTGCTGCGATCTTAAGTGCACGCGAGCTAATTGACGTGCTTCCTCTGCACGCTGAATGTAATCGTCGACATCAGGAGTTAGTAGCTCTTCCTGGTCGATGCCACAAGGAATCACAGCGTCTAGCATGGTTTGCACGTCTCGACCGTAAACGAGGCGGAATGGTGCGAACCTTGTCGTTTCCTGGGTTGCGGTGTTGTACGCAAACGTTACGTACGGCAGGATTTTGTCCCATGTTTTATGCTGCACATACACATACATAGAAATCATGTCCGCCAGCGTTTTGTTCAGCCTTTCTGTTAAGCCGTTACTCTAGGGGTGGTATGCGGTTGTCTTGCGGTGGTTCGTGTAACTGAGCTTGAAGATGTCGTCCAACAGTTTTGCCATAAACGCTGTCCGTTGGTCAGTGATTATGAATGACGGGGCACCGTGACGAAGCACAATGTGGTGCATGAAAAACTGGGCAACTTCAGATGCTGTACCGCGTGGCAATGGCTTCGTTTCAGCGTAACGCGTCAAGTAATCAGTTGCGACGACGATCCACTTGTTTCCGGAGTGAGACAAAGGAAACGGTCCAAGAAGGTCCATCCCAACTTGGTCAAACGGCGTACGCGGTGGATCGATGGGTTGTAAGAGGCCTGCAGGCTTTACAGGTGGTGACTTGCGACGCTGACATTCGTGGCATCCTTTCACGTAGCGTTTGACACAAGCTGCGAGTTTTGGCCAGAAATATAGCTGTCGGACTCGGTTGAGCGTCCGGGAGTATCCCAGATGGCCGGATGTCAGCTCATAGTGGCAGGCTAATAGGATGTCATCACGAAGGTCTTGAGGGACGACTAGAAGATAAGATCTGCTGCCAACACCGGTGTTTTTCTTGTATAATATGCGTGTCGTAAGCAAAATGACAGCAACGTACGGGAAAGTGGACGAGGAACAGACGCGGTGCTGCCTTCTAAGTGATCGATGATGGGCCTTAACTCGGGGTCCGCTCGTTGCTTACTGAGGAGGTCGGCGCCACTGAGAGTCCCCAGGAAGGCGCTGTCGTCTTCTACAGCTGTATGGTCGGATTCCAGAGGTGCCCGTGATAGCGTGTCGGCGTCTTCATGCTTTCTACCCGACTTGTATACGATGGTGACATCGAACTCCTGAAGTGGCAGACTCCACCGTGCTAATCGCCCAGAGGGGTCTCGGAGGTTAACCAACCAACATAAAGCGTGGTGATCAGTTACAACTTTGAATGGGCACCCATAGAGATAAGGCCTGAACTTTGTAATCGCCCATATTACTGCGAGACATTCCTTCTCTGACGTTGAATAGTTGGTTTCGGCACGTGATAGAGTGCGGCTCGCGTAGGCAATCACATGTTCGATCCCATCTTGTGTTTGCACCAGGATAGCTCCGAGACCAATGTTGCTTGCGTCAGTGCGCACCTCTGTGTCAGCGTCCTCATCGAAATGAACGAGTACAGGAGGAAATGACAATCGATGTTGCAGTTCCGCAAAGGCAGTCGCTTGTTCGTCAGTCCACTGAAATGCGGTGTCGTCACGCGTAAGTCTAATGAGAGGCTCCGCAACCTTAGAGAAGTTTCCAATAAAGCGGCGATAGTAGGCGCAGAGCCCTAGAAATCGCCGAAGACTTTTTTTGTCTGTCGGAGCTGGAAAAGCGGCCACAGCGGCAGTCTTCTCGGGATCGGGCCGAACACCTGCAGCGCTCACAACGTGACCCAAGAACTTCATTTCATTGTAGCCGAAATTGCACTTCTCAGGCTTGAGGGTAAGGTCAGCGGATCGTATGGCTTCAAAAACACTCCGAAGGCAACGAAGGTGCTCGTCAAACGTTTCTGAAAAGACAACGACATCATCTAGATAGACGAGGCAACTTTTCCACTTGAGGTCAGCGAGAACGGTATCCATCATTCGTTAGAATGTGGCCGGAGCGGAACAGAGGCCGAACGGGAGCACTCGGAATTCATACAGGCCGTCAGGAGTTACAAAAGCCGTTTTTTCGCGGTCACGTTCATCGACTTTAATTTGCCAATGACCACTTTTGAGGTCAATTGAGGAAAAGTACTTTGCTCGCCTCAGCCTGTCAAGAGAATCGTCCACTCGAGGCAACGGGTACACGTCTTTCTTTGTGACGTTATTCAGCTTCCTATAATCGACACAAAAGCGAAGTGTACCATCCTTCTTCTTTACAAGGACCACTGGCGATGACCGAGGGCTGCTTGATGGCTGTATTACACCGTCTTGAAGCATTTCCTTCACTTGCTTTTGAATAGCGCGTCACTCGGTTGGTGAAACGCGATAAGGCTGTTGCCGTATAGGGTGCGCGTCACCATAGGTGGTAATACAGTGGTTGGTAATCGATGTTTGACGGATTCTTGATGAACGTGCAAAACAGGCGTGGAATTCTATCAACAGGTCATTAAGCCTTCGTTTGTTTTCGTCAGAAAGCGTTGGATTTATATCGACACCCCGGAGAGGTGCTTCGGCATTATCGGTTGCCTCGGAAGCAAAACACTCTGTCACATTGGTTACTGGGTAGGCATAGGCGATGACAGTACCAGGGAAAAGGTGTCGGCGCTCTTAGCTGAAGTTCGTAACAAGTACCTCGCAGTGGCCAGCCTGTAGGTCTACTAGGCTTCGTGCTACGCAGAGACCTTGGGAAAAGAGTAGGGATCGATTGCTCTCCGCCACCATTTCACTGTGTGCTGATTTGTTACACGCCACTTGAACCATAACACTTGAGCGCGGTGGTATCGTGACAGCATCGTCAATTACCCGCAGACATACTCGATCATGGCTGGGATTATGCTCTGGTGTGGCGCTTTTTGTCGAGAACGTGACGAGGCGTTGTCGAATGTCGATGATAGCACCGTGCTCCCTCAGGAAGTCCATGCCAATGATCAGGTCTCGAGAACACTGACGGAGAACGCTCAAGCTGACAACGAAGGTAGAACCACGAATCTGTATTCGTGCTGCGCAAACGCCGAGTGGCATGACGATGTGCCCGCCAGCAGTACGAATTGACCTGAGGTTCCAAGGCATCGTCACTTTCTTTAGGAGAGCAGCCTGTTTTTCACTTATGATAGAAAAATCAGCACCCGTGTCAACTAAAGCACTGACTTTGCGACCATCGAGCAGCACTGGAATGTCTAATGAAATCTTTGCGGAACCAGCTGGTGTTGTCATCGTGGGAGAATCGTCAGTTTGCGGAAGCGTCAGTAGGAGGCCTTGAGCTTGTCCAGTATGAGCGGCCTCGCCCCCGAAGGTCGCTGTGGTTAATTTTCCCGGCGTGGACTGGGTGACCGACCCTGCGCCATGCTCGAATAGGTGTAGCGATTAGGAGAAAATCGCCGCGGTGACGGGGAGCGTGACTGGTGCAAGGATGACGAAGTTCCGCGCTGTTGAGCCACATACTCTTCAATTTCAGGGGGCCGCTGGCCGAACCTCGGTGGTGGTGAGTTCGTCGAAAATCCGCGTAGTCCAAGTTGTCGGTAAGGACACTGTCAGTGCAGGTGCCCAGCTTCACCACAGTGAAAGCAGAGAGGACGTCGATCTGGTGCACGCCAGATGTCTGACTTCCGCGAGATCAGGCGAGGTGCGCTGTAATATGGCGCCGCTTGGACCGTCTGCAGCATGGCTGGGGCCACGGTGGGATGTAGAATTGCAGGTGTAACAGGTTGCCGCAAAGCTTGAGCATACGACATGCGGGGAAAGTCACCGGGTGGTTGATAATCCCGCATGCAAGGCGGTTCTCTTAAGGCATGCTGGACTTCATCTCGGACAACGCTGGACAACGAGGAGGTAGTGGGCTGCGAGGGCACTGACAGCTTCTGGAGTTCTTTGCGGATGACTGAACGTATGATCTCTCGGAAGAAATCCATTTGGCCACCAAAAGCTCCTAAGTAGTCCGTAGTTGAAGCGTTGACGTGCCCGTATGACGGGGCCCGGTGCCTAAGAGTGCTTTCTATGGTGACGGCTTCCGTGAGAAATTCTGACACAGTCTTGGGTGGACTGCATACAAGCCCACCGAAAAGCTGCTCTTTCACCCCGCGCATGAGGTACCGTACCTTCTTTTCTTCTGGCATGCCGGGGTCAGCTCGGTGGGAAAGGCGCGTCATTTCTTCGACATACATCGCAACCCCTTCGTTCGGCAATTGTATACGGGACTGCAGATCACGCTCAGCTCTCTGCCGACGGTCAGGGCTGGCATATGTCCCAAGAAGTCGGCGTTTGAAGTCTTCCCATGATGTGAAAATACCTGCCCGGTTCTCATACCAGACACGTGCGCCGTCCAAAAGACTGAAATAGACGTGCCGCAGTTTGTCTGCGTCGTCCCACTGGTTGTGCACGGCAACAAACTCGTAATGAACAAGCCAATCTTCTACATCCTCAAGTGCAGTGCCATGAAAGGGATTTGGCGTTCGCGGTGTGAGTAAGGTGCAATTAAGCGGTGTTGTGCCATCGTACCGGTTGGGTTGGTGTCGGTAGGGCTGGTCGGAGCTGCCATGTTGTTTGCGAGCAGTCCAAACTCAGGGGATAGCCCTCGGATTCTTCTGCTGGCACGATGTACAGGTGTAACTACCGGTACGACGCTTGTGTTTCTGCTATGTGGAGAGGTACGGTGCATAGATTACCCAGCACCTCCACCAGTTTGTCACGCACCAAGAGCCGTAGAGACAAGACAGGAACAGCGGGGCAGAAAGACACGAGCGTGTATCTTCAGAACGAGGCGCTAACCACACTTCTTCTTGGTTCTCTTTGCCCTTTTTGGCTCGCTAGGGCTTGCCGGCTCACAATTCTAGGTGGCAATATACTTCTTTTTATTATGTGTTCCAATTTATTGCATTATCCTGTTCAATTTGATACATTTTCTCCTTGAAATTACATATATTCTTTTTTGTGTTATTGAGCTTGTTCTTGTACTCTTGCTTTTTACAGTTACTATTTGATGTTAAATACCATTGTGTTCTTGTTCATTTTTTTAACCTTATTGTGTTATCTGTTAGCATTGTACGTTTCACTTCGTGTGTTTTCTCTGAAAACTATTGTGCCTATTTTTTTGATAGCATGTATCAATGTATCACACCTGCTGTAGTCTCTGCTCTAGACTGCAGTATCAGTAGGTAAATAATAAAACCACTATTTCACTACACGTGCCGCCCTCGTTTCCATTTAACGATATGTATCTCTTGCCATCAAGTGCGGCCACCGCAAAGAGTTTCGTTGATTCGGTGCAAACCGCAACTTAGATTTACGCGACCGCTACCCATCGAAGCCTAGCTTGCCGTATGGTATGTTGTCGCGAAAAGCTTGTCTAAAACATGAGGATTCGGCGTCAAAAAGATCACACTAGCAGTGAACCAAGAACCGGGTGCGTGATACGAAGTTCGCGTTTGGGGCCGGGAGATCGGCAACGACAGTCGACAATTCACCACGCTTACGTACGACAGCGCACTGGCAGCAAAAGTGAAAGCTCGCGTCATAAAACCGTAACTGGTTTTCAATTTATGGACGTGGAAGCAAACGTGATATTTGTTGCAAGCGTGATAACGACGACGTCTTTTCCAACAGGAATCTGCTAAGCACATGTAGTCGATAAGGACGGGATCGCACATGCCACGTTGAGCGGCGCACGGCCGAAGCGACGCTAGCGACGTAGTTCGCTGTAGCCGCGTCGGCGCCGGTGCAAAGGCTTATCGGTCACTGAGGCAACCGTCCTTTACTCGGCGAGCCCGCGCACTGTCCGGCCGTCTTTTTTTTTTTTTTCGTTTTCTTTTCCTTCCCTCCACTCTTTGTTCGTTAACTCCGTGTCCCCTCCTCCTCCGTAACGACCTCGTCGTTCACTTCCCAGCAGCGTACACTGCGCTACTCGCTACCGCGTTTGTCACAAACAATTTCTGGCAATTGCATTATAATTGGTTTTCACCTTGGGAGTCTGCACAATAAGCAGTATGCGTATACATGGGATTTTATGGGAGCGAGAATGGGAGTAGAAAAAGACCGCATTTTAAGCGCTTCTGCACTATAAGTGGTTACGTTATAAGGTGTCTACACTGTATATCAAAATACCCACAAGAGTTGTTGAGTTACTAAATTCAACAAAATTTATTTTAACTTCATACATGCTCTCCTCCTCATGTTTCAGAGCGGGGCACGCATCAATTGCACTGCGCATGTCGCGCATTGAAGCACCACTTGACCCAAGCCAGCTACTGGAGCTGGGCCATCACATTCTCAAGGCACACATTTACAAGAACGTTTCCCGTGGCCTTCCCCCGTCGTGCACTCCTCGGGACTTGCAAGCACTGTGGGTCTTCCAAAGTGCTGGAAGCGTCTCCTCTGCACTGGTGGCTCCTGCAAACCTGTACAGCCCGAATGTCAAAGTGCGTTGTTCTTTTATTGCAATAACAATTATACGAACGCTCTCGGCTGGGTTTTGTCGTCTGCGTCATTCACCGTATATGTATACGTATCTATTTATATGAAAACTTAAATGAATAAATTTTATTTGTACCAGGATCTTTGTACTTCAGCACTAAGGTGGGTGGCCTCCTTAGTCCAGGTAGCCATCGCTCGCTGCCGTTGCCAAAGCCCTGTTCACCAATCGTGATGAAAACCTAAAGAAAGAAAAAAAAAAGCCTACCTGCGTTCAGCACCCAGCTAGTCGCAATGCATCGTACTTGGCCTCACAAATGGGGGGGGCTAGATGCTTTTGTACATGCTCTTATCCTTCGGTGGGGAGATCCGTGTGCCTTCGGCTTTCACCGGAACGATTGCGTTAGTTTCTGGGCCCACGAAGGTCACTTTTCTAGCTGCACAGGCCCCATTTCCGAGAAGAGCACGCATTTCATACACAGTGAACTATAACAACTGGGACGCTTGTTACTTTGTGCGCATCTGTACCTGTGATTGTGTTTAATGTGTTGTTTTTGTTTAAACAACGCATTAAGTGTGGCACGGTAAGCGTTTTCGAGCATTGGCTCTCGTCCAGCTGTGTGTGTTTTTTTGTGCCTCATTTGTGCGTACTTGGGCAGCGTCATGCACGTTTTGATCTGCTTGCCGTTCTCAGTGGTGTACATTCCAAGTTGTTGCTATCGCATTCATTGCTTTGCCCTTGTGGCCAAACTGAGACTTTTTTTTTGTTTCTTTGGACTGCTACTAGTCGCTATTTAAAGCTCATTGATTCATTCAAGATAGCCTTGTCTGCTATTGTTAAAGTTTTACGTATTAAACATCTATATACTCAGTTGAGGGGAGATGCGATTTGAAAAAAGAAATTGCATTATTCTGTAGCCTAGGGCAATGAAATTTTCACTGTATATATAGTTATTTATGCTTATTTCAAATATGTAATTAGTTGTATAGTAAAAGGAAAAGAGAAGCAACTTTATTAAAAATGGGAAGTTTCTGAGGAAATATATTCCCTCCCCTAGATGGCAGCTAAGAGTCCTTGGGCCCTAGCGGCATCTTCGGCTTGCCTGATAACTTGTAGCTGGTCCTGAATGTTTGAGCTAAGCAGTGCGGTCTCCTCCTGCAGTGCCTTGAAATATTTGGTGTTTGGCCCCTTCACGAGGTTAGGACAAGCCCAGATAATGTGTTTGAGGTCCACCCGCTGATTGCAGAGTTTACATTTGTCGGAGTAGAGATCTGGATAGCAATGACTGCAAGCAATTGGGTTTGGGAAGGTGCTTGTTTGTAATAGCGCCATGCTGTCGCTTGCTGTTTATTTAATGAGGAAAGTGGTGGAGGGTAATGCTGCCTCCCTAATCTGTAGTGTTTAATATTTTCATAGTGTGAGACCATGCGCTCTCTCCACACGCGGGCTTTGCGTCATTCCTGCACCTGCTCGGCTCACTAACTCTCAAGCTAAATTGTTCATGGTTTCGTTGCCCGAAAGGAAAGAGTGACTGGGCGTGCATATAACATACACGTCGCACTCTCCATGAAATTTGGTCGAAATTGTTTTTGCCTTTTTCGAGACCTTACCTTAAGCAAAATTAGAAACTGTGGTTTTAGAGTCACTGATTACAACCCTGGCTGTTGCAGACGCAAGCGCCAACACTATGGCTGCTTCCTTGGCGATTTCAGACCTTCCTGACTTAATGGAACTGCTGGCAAGCAGGTGGCTCGCTTGATTTGAAGCGACCAACGCCATGTGTCGACCCTCCGAATACTCCGCTGCATCCACATAGACCGCATCCTCATCGTTTTGAAACTTCTTGTGTAGTGCTTTCCCCCTAGCATTCCTTCGCTCTCGGTGATACTCGGGGTACATGTTTCTGGGTAACGGCGGTATCATGATGCGCTCTGTGGTTTATTTTGGGATATCGTATTGATCCTCGCTTTGGCCAGCGTACGTGATGCCCAGTTTGTGCATCATGGTTCTTCCTGTGTCTCTTTTTGATAGTCATTCATATTGTGCAATTATATGAGCCTCAATAAGTTCGTCTAGTTTGTTATGCATACCTATTGCTTCAAACTATTTTTAGATATGGTGATTGGTAAGCCGAGTGCTTGCTTATATGCATTTTTGATGATGAATTTCAGACAAACATTTTGTGCCACTAGAATTTTATTGTTCTGAGCCATTAATGGCTCAGATTACTCCACATTAACTGGAATGCAAATAACTATCAAAAAGTGTTTATAAAACATTTTCATGGACAAGAAAAATTGTAGTGTGAAAATTCTTAGAATGCTCAGCCTATACAAATTGCTTGCTTTAAGTTTGTAGCAGTTATACAGGCGATATCAAGTTTTAAAAGAGAAACTTACATTTTCGACATGTTGTACAGTAGGTGGGCAAAATTGTATTTCACCCGGGCTATCAAAACATGGTGTTTAAACTCAAAAAGTTGCCCAAAAGTGAGTCTTGAGAAAAGCACATTTTAACAGTGTAAGTGAAAGCTCATCTCTGCATAAAAGATGTTTCTTTAGATGATTTCTTTCATTATGAGAGCTTGGCAATCATGATTATTTTGAGCATAGAGCCTTAGTGAGCTAATTTTGAGAAATCAAATGGCAAGCAGACAGGTGACGATTTTTTGGGGACTCTAGGCAATGAGCTCTATTTAGTTTTTAATAGCCACCTTGTGCTCTTTAAAAGCAGTTTAACCTACTTCATGTTTAGTTAAAATGTTCAATTTTTTTGTTGTGAAAGTAGAGAAACTGAACTTGTGAAAGTAAATGTGTACTAATTTTGGAAAAAATTTGCATTTTTCGACTTGCACGTCTGGTCAACTTAAGTAGAAAATGGAGGGTTGCACATTTCCTTTCCAGAAGAATTAAATAAACTGTTGTAGGGGCTTGCAGCTCATGGTGTAAATCCAAGAGTTGCAATTTTTGCATTATATAAAAGAACCTTGTAAGAATTTAGTGCAACCTTGACTCTCGCAAACACTCACACAAGCATTCACACATCCACCCGAGCAACACACACAACAAGCAGCGCTCTGTGTGTGTTACTCGGGTGGATGTGTGAGTGTTTGCGAGAGTCAAGATTGCGCTTAATTCTTACAATATGACGAATAACCAACTAGCCCAACAACCCATTTTATTGAGATAAAAGCACCTTCTTTATGCTCAGCAAAGCCAAATGCTGCAATGTGCACACAACACGCAATTGCTATTTATCAGACCTTATAAACACAGGAAATGGACATGGACTGGGCAGTTAGCACTTAGACAGGATAACTGCTGGTCATTAAGGGTAACTAACTGGATTGCCAAAAAAAGGCTAGCAGGTTAGGGGGAGACATAAAGTTAGATGGGCAGGTGAGGTTAAAAAGTTTGTCGGTAAAAAATGGCAGCAGCAAGCACAGGACCGAGTTGACTGGCGTAACATGGGAGAGGCCTTTGTCCTGCAGTGAAAGTAGTCAGGCTGCTGCTGCTGCTGATGATGATGATAAACACATGCTAGATGACCTACGAAAGCACACATGTCAAGCACAGGGGCGTAGCCAGAAATTATTTTTAGGGGGTTCAACCATGCTTTATGTAGGTTCTTATGTGTGTGTATATGAATGCAAGCAAAATTAAAAAATTTGTGACCTTTAACCCTCAAGCCCATATAAAAGCATAAACTGGACATAATTTTCTGCTTATTGGGCCTATTTCTGAATTTTTTCATGCTTTTAAGAAATATTTAAATGCCTGTTCTAGGCATCTGCTGTGGACATTTCACCATTAGTTCATTAGTGTTCATGTTTTATTTCCCATGTGACGCTACGTAATGTTTTTTAAGGTTCTATGTTAGTATAGTTTTTGACTCTCTCGGCGTACTGCTTCTTCGTGTTTCTCAATTAGGGCTGCTTGGAGTGAATATAAAATGTTAATTTATTGTTTTATTTGGTGCTAAGCGCTATTTTTAGGGTTTTTAAACAAAAATGTCTAGAGTACGATTTCATTCTTTCATGCCTTTGTTGACGCTTGGTGCAATAAATAATAAAAGATAAATAAAAACAGATGAGCGCGCACCTTGGGATTACGCAGTTTAGATTGTGATGGGTATCACTTTTGTATTTTGCCATTTTTCACTTTTGTCATTGTGGTGGCAGTCAATTTGGTTTGATTTGTTTTCGGTCGGCTTTGTTTGTGGCATTTTTGGTTTTGTGCGCATCGTGGAAGCGCAGCATAGCATGCGTATATATTGGCTTCCAAAAACGACAATAAACAGTTGGTAGTCTGCGCTCTTTCCTGTCTCGTTTTTTTTCTTCAAGTTTGTGCAGCAATTCAATTTTTTCAAGACATTTCACCCTTCATTGATTACTTGAGATTGTTCATGCATTCTGTGAAGCGTCACTCCCTGCAGGTGAGCCGTCTGCTGCTGCTGGCTCAGGCTGATCCCAATGCACGAACCCACTGGCTGAACCGAGCCCCTCTGTTGGTGATGTCTGCCTACGAGGGATTCACGGATATGGTGACTTCACTGGTGGAGTTTGGAGCTGATGTCAATGCTAGCTCCGATGTAGGGCGCACTGCTCTCAGCATGGCCTGCCAGCGAGGGCACTTTGAGATCGCCAAGTACCTCCTCTCATGCGGAGCAAGGGTGCGTGCCTGCAATAACATAATGAACTTTATATAATGGATACCAGTACAACAAAATTCTCAATGTGATGCATTATTTAATTTACAACTTCATGTCCATACAGTGCCATGTACTTTATACCACAATATAGTATGTCAATCAGCTTTATTTTGTGCCTTTCTAAACCAGACAGAGGAGTGGTGAATAAAAGCTGTCTTTCAACAGGTTCATGATCCCACCACTCCCATTACAAGGATCCATGGCACCACAGGGACAGTTATATTTTACATACAAACTGAAAAAAGAAAAAGACACATTATTCGAAAAGGTACCGTGGTGGTGGGGGGGGGTCAAAAGTTGTCAGGCCACACTGCTGTATGAATACATGAAATAGTGGCTTAGAAACTTTTGACCGCCCCTGTAGTTTACTTGATCGTTCATAACAAAGCATGTTATATCACCTGAACATGCTCGCCCTTTATACGTGTCTTGACATCTTTCTTTAGTGCATGCCCCGTCTTTTAGAATGAATGCATGTTATATGTGATTTAGATATGACCAAGTTCTTCTGCTGTCTTAAAAGAAGATTGAGGTGATTAATTGAAGCTTCCACCAAGTCCTTTGTCATGTGGTTGAATCGGCAGAGTTTTTTGGCTATCACAATGTGTTGGACCTGCATTTCTTTCAGGTTCATGCATGACAGAAAATAGACTTTTTTTTTTTCATGTTACCATTAAGTTTAGTTGTTTGTACTGCCATTTTAGTGAAACATTCTTCTGGCCCTTCTCGTGCAAAAAAAAAGCCTTTGTTGAGCACGCTTGAAATGGTTGACTTTCACTGTTACAATGTTTCGATACAATACTGCCAATTGAACTGACTGCACCACTATATCGTAGTTTAACTGCACTTCCTCATTCGTCTACTTTTGTTCCACTTTTTTCTTTGATGAAACAATGATGGGAATTTGAATGATTGTACAGGCTACACTGGATAGCTTTTGGAGGAAACTTGGTTTGATATACAGTTAAACCCCTTTATAAGAGGCATGCTCTGGGCAGCAGTTCTTGTCTTATATATGAGATGTCTCTTGTAAGGAGGGTACCTCGTATTCATTTTGTTCTTATCGACTTGTATTTTACTGTTGGCATTCTTGTGTCTCTTATACCCATTTATCTCTTACAAAGAGGCTCAACTGTACCGGCTAATGTGAGAGAAAGAGATCCACGAAGTTAATGTGATTGAAAATGCTACACACACTGGAATGGCCATCGAATTGTACGCCTGTCATTGACGTCATTTTCAATTTGAAAAACATTATGATGCCATGGTGTTGCACAGGACACACAGTTGGCCAGGCCCTCGTACAGAGGATTCCCGTTTGCCTGAGTCAAAAGCTTTGTTGGTTTGTATATTGTTCACATAATTGCATCATGACACAACTCCACCCACATGAAGTTCACGGAATGATGCATACTCCTAATAGATATAAAATAAAGCTTCCATGTAAAGTGAAGTTCTTCTGAAACGAGAACTTGTTTTATGTGTTATTTCGCTACTAAAGAAGCCATTTGGAGTCAATTACCTTGCATATGGTTGAGAAGCTATTACAATCAATCCCTGTTTATCAAACTCTAATATATCGAAGTATAGGCTATATCGAACAGTTAAGAAATCCCCTTAAATTTCCCATGCAAAAGTATGGAACCGGTGCACCCGTATATCAAACTCCCACACAGCGGGACATCCACGATATTAAACGATGCGTCGTGCCAAAGCCCAGAAATCGCATTTTTCCTAGCAAATATTGATCAATTTTCTACTGTGCTCTAACAAGTTCCGATCCTTTTTCATGCGCAGGCATCGAAAACATGGGGTTATTTCATCGCGCTTATTTGGTGCGCTGTGTGGCACTTGCGAGTACACCTGTACGTTCGATGTGCGATATGCAGGTCTTAGCTTGCGGGCATAGTGTTTTCAAAAATTCAATTGCCGAGAGCACTGACATGAGAATGCAAAGTGACTTGGCGACTTCATTGCAATGTTCGCATTCCCTTCCTTGTTTGTTAGCGCACAATGGCATGCGAGCCTGAAAAGCATGGCCTTTAAGATGTGCAACCTTGTGACGTATTTTCAGTGTTTTTGATCTTAAAATGTATGTCTCTGAGGCTACGCTTTTTTTTTCGCATCAAAGCCGCTGAAAGCAGTGGCTGCCAGCTGTGAAAACACGAGTGACATTGATGTCACCAACATGTCGACGGTGGGAACTCGGACGAACTCGGCGTGGTGTCTTTTGCGGCTTTTGGTCTTGTTTACTTCTCGTCTTGTTCCTGATAAATCCTCATTCTGGAGGTGAACTGAACGTTGACCCTCACGTAGCAATAAAAGTTATGATTGACGCTTGGAGCGAGTCAAGTAATACACCTTCGTAAATATTCCTTGCGAGCCAGGTGACGACTTCGGGTGCGTCGTGACCGCTGACAACGGCATACAGTGCCTCAGTGAATTCTACAACTTGTCAGCATTTCCGGGCACCATCTCAGACAGTGAGCAACTTCATCAGTACAGATGGCCATGTAGCTTTTTCTGACTGCATCGGCGCTGAGATTTTGGCTGCCGTTAACGGTGCTACAGAACTGTAGCCGTGCGGTTATGAATGTGCTAATGCCTTTGCTGCCGCCACAAACCAACCTTTTGACGTGCTATGAAGCTTGCATCGGCAGTCTGCGTCATTCAAACTTGTTTTGGCCGAAGGAGCTAAATTCGTTTATTTGAAAAGCTTCAATGATATTCAGATTGACTGGAACTTGATGGCGTGCAAGGAGCAAGACAAGTTTATACACCACTTTTATGCAAAACAAAGTGCAGTAACCAGCAGTTCGTACCTTGTTTTTTATTATACTGTGAGCGAATCGTTATGTTAGCTTTTGTAACAATTTCTGACTTCTCAAATGTTTCGATTTAGGCCTAAACATGTGTATTTTGTATTTTGAATTCATGATATATTGAACTGTTTTGCAATCCTCTTCAAGTTGGATCAGGGATCGACTGTATGTTGAAAAATTTCTCAATAAGTTTTACACCAGTACGAGTGATTTTGAGGTCTGTGCAAATGAAACGCCACTTTTTTTTTCGATGTACATCATTGCTACAAACTGTAGCCATGCGCTGTCCACTGCTGACAGTCAGGGATGGCTTCTTTGAACGGCAGATTGACCATGTGGACAACGAGGGCCTTTCAGCACTGGCACATGCAGCTAGCTCAGGCCACTTAGACTTGGTGACACACCTGGTGCAATGCAAGTGGCCAGATGATTTCGGCATGGCGCTGGGTCTTCACAGGGCAGCACAGCAGGCTTTAATCACAGCTGCAAAGTCTGGACACATTGAGGTAGGCCTCCCATATTGCTGGCTTGTTGCGATTCAAGCCTGACTCAAGCAATGTATGCCTAGTGTAATGTTACATAGTTCAGTAGCACTTTCTATATGTGTTATTTCTTACATGAATATAGCATGGCTTACGTGGGTAACCAATTAGTGGCTTTAGCTCATGCTAATCCTGCCTACTTAGATAATAGATGTTCCTGGAGCAGCTAGTCTCTTTAACTAGCTTACACAAAATAGCTTAGACAAACTTTGTGGCTCTAAATACATGCTGGCCTCATTCAACAAACTTATTGATGTGAACGCTCAAGAACAATGTAAATATGCTTCAGTTGGCCTAGCATGCTGCTATGTAGAAGAGCTAACATTGTCCAATACAGTTGCTGAAATTGAATTCGCTTTATTAGAAGTGATCAACAGAACATCTTGTCAATAAGAGAGAACATGGTTCTTTCCCAGCAATGCTGTATTGATCTAACTTTTGCCATGAGTGAATGCAAAGGATGGCAGACAACAATGAATGGAAAAACAGCATTCTCTTCTCTGCCCCTTATCTTCTGTCCCGTAAGGAGGTGGAGTTGACTGATTTCATTGTGAAACGTGCTGCACAGCTGATAGTTGGCGTGCACCTTCAGAGTTCCAGTTACTGCCCCCCACATGGTAATCAATATTTTAAGTAAACATTTACCATCTACAAAAGCAAGTCAGTGTGCTCTTATGCACAAGTTGTTGCATTTATGCACTGTAAAATGGTTTCATTCTGAATGCCCTACCTTTGACAATTCAGGTGTGTGAGTTCCTGCTGAACATGATGGAGGTACAGGTGAACAAGCAGGACGATTTCAGTGGCCACACAGCATTGACGGCAGCAAGCCTGGCAGGGCATCGAGACGTCTGTGCGCTGCTCATGCGACGCGGCGCCTCGGCACTTGTGCGCTCCAATGCCGGAGAGCCACCCTTGTGCTGTGCTGTGCGTGAAGGCCACTGGGCAGTTACTGAGCTTCTGCTGTGCCACGCACGTGCTCTGGAGCAGACCGATGCACTGGGACGCTCGCCACTTGTGCTGGCTGCTGCTGAGGGACATGTCGGAGTGCTGGAGCTGCTGCTCTCCAAGGGTGGGTAAAAAGTAGCATGCGGTTGCAGCGTTTTTTTTTTTCTTTTCTCTTGCCCTAACTAGTTAGGCATAGTGATTACATGCTGGAAGATTTGTCGCCATTCGCATTACCATCTGTGGTCGCCCACTCTAGATTAGACAGGTGTCTGTAGCTCAAACTTGAAACTTTCTTTCAGTGGTGACCCATTCCCATTTAAATCTTGTAGCCGGAAAAGTCTTCCTGGTTAGATATCCCACAGTACAAATCAGTATTTATCAAAATATTCTTGCACATAACTCTGGATTCATACCGATGTCGACAAAAGAATGTATCAAGAGCATACTAACAACGGGAAACCTTGAACGAAAAAATATTACTGACAAATAAAAAAATCACTAATGTAAAATCTGAGTGCTGCTTTACTTATGTTTATAATTTTTGGTGTTCTATTGTTGTTTTTTTGTGCCACATGTCATTTACTTTTTTGCAAGACATTTGCTTAGCAATAAATTAATGTAGAAAGCAGGAGATTGGGCTGTAGCAGTTAGGCTTGACATTGTCAAGCAGATGATCATCTGGTTCATTCAGGTGCCGATTTGTTATGGCAAGACAAGGATGGCCTATCTGCATTGAGCTGGTCCTGCAGTCGGGGTCAAGTTCAAGCAGCTCAGTGCCTCCTCACCCACGGTGCTGATATCAACCACAGTGACAAAAAAGGCCGGACGCCACTGGACATGGCTGCCACCCAAGGAAATGCAGAGATGGTGAGCATCGATGACTGTGAACCATTTGTATTTCTAGCGTTGCCCTTTACTAACAAATTGCAACACAACCACTATACTAGAAAAATCTTTCCGCTACTAAGCACAGAAACTTGTTAGGAAAAGGCCTTCTTTTTTACGTGTCAATAAACATTGGACAAGAAAGACAACGAAAACTCATGGCACTTTGTGCATATTATTTTTTCCTGTGTTTGCTTATTTACTCATATTATACGAACAAAAATTATAGAAATTGCTGAAGTGGAAGCTTCCACAATGCCTTGCCAGCAGAAGTGAAGCCAGCTTTTGCCACTGCCAAGATGGCGGAAACATGCTCTTTTGTGGTAGTGCCCACTTAAAGATCAAGCGGCTCTGATATGTTGATGTGAATGCTACCGTATAAACCAGACTATAGGTTGAGTGCGAATATAGGTCGACCCTCACAAGTTCAGGTTACCGAAACAAAAGGAAAACAACCCAAAACTGCCAAACTGCATTTACCGTATTTACTCGCATAATCCTCGCACTTTTTTTGCCAGAATATCAATGCAAAGTTGGGGGCTGCGAGAATTACGCGAGGAAAGCTTTCCACGAAAACGCAGAGAGCGAAAAAGAAAAGAAAGTGGCTGCAAATCGGGATTCTCACACCAGCAGCTTACAGCAAGCTTTAAGAAGTACTAATTAGAACTTACCTCAACAATAAAAGCAGAGGTTCAACACAAAGCAAGATTTATTTCAGACACAAAAAGTGGAAGCAAATAGTCGAGAATTAGAATACCATATGCAAAGCTTGTGGGCGTTGCGGGCGTAGCGGTAGCGTTCGTTGCTTAACAGGAGCCCTCAAAAACGTAAGCGTAGGACTTCAGTATTGGGCTGATGGCTATTTAACAGAATCGTCCGCAGTTTCCTTCTGAAGAAATAGAGTTTACCATCAATCCCAGTTTTATACACACGGCAGGCCCAACGCATCTTGGTGGCTTTCAGCTGCCGTCACCATTAGCGAACACAAAACTCGTAGGCTTCGAAGGGCCTACCGGCGGCCCTGTTTCCGTTGTTTAGCGTGTGATCCATCACTTGCAACTTGAAGCCGCCGTGTAATTTCAGTATCGCCCCATAACATGCCAAGCTTATCGACACAACAAATAAAACACGCCGCAACGCCACGCGCAACGCGCACTGGCCACTTCGGCTTGGCTTGGATTGGATTGAGTCCAATAGTACGCTTGATGCTTACGAGATGGCGCCAGATGGTGTGCGCTATCATCATCAATGGCTGGAATGAGCAGACGACATTATTGCGGCAGTTTTCGGGACGTGCGATAATTACTCGAGGAAAAAAAACAATCATATTTTTTCTTGGGCGATGTGGGGGCTGCGAGAATTATGCGAGTGCGAGGATCATGCGAGTAAGTACGGTATATTTCTGTTGTACAATCTGCATCGCTGTTTGTGAAACTTATTGACACAGGTGTGTGCGTAAAAAGCACACAGAGCAATATGGCCACTCAAATAATGGCAAGAATGCCCGTGTGGCATCATGGCGCCTCGAACCGTAAATCGGTGCAGACGGGCGTCGTAGACTACAATCCATTGGGTGAGCCACAATTTTGCTATTTACATAATAATTAGTAACACTAAGACGCACTTGGAGCACTATGTGTACCCAGAAAAGTTTCCACAGTAAACTCGTTGGGCGTGCGAAGGGAACGGTCCGTTTTTAATCGCTGAACGGTGATACTTTATCATGCCCCCAGTAAGATGGCCACTGCAGCCGCCATCTTGCCATATGAACGGCTTCACTTCTAGGCAATCATTTCCACTACAGCAAAACCTAATTAATAGGTGTGCATGAAAATAGGAAACGTTGATTATTTTTTTAATAGTTTTAGCTATTCGATTCACCCTGGTATGTTTACTATTCTGAATTTTCTAAAGCCATACATGGTCAACATCCGATTGGAAATATCCAATCAAATTTTTAATATGCTTCACCTGATCACAATTTCGTATTGCGGCGAAGCTGCCTTTCAAGCTCCGCTGCTTTCGAGTTTTTCAAGGACAAATACAGCCATCTGATAGAAAGTGGACCCTTCAGATTTTTAACAGTGCTTCAGCTCATTGCTCTCATATTACAGCAAAGCTGCATTTCATGCTCTGCTACAGACGCCAATGCACTTGTTCTAACATGGAGATGATAGATATGGCAAAGGTGTGGGCTCAGTTGATGCTGTTTTGTATCTGAACTTCGGGCAGCAGTTCTGAAAGATCGGACGCCATAGATTTTTACTATCTAAAATTTCAGATGTTCTACGAGGCAGATTCGGAACTCTGGACTTGAATGCAGCACGCCTTTGTCATTTGGGCTTTGACAAAGGGAAGGAGAGGAAATGGCATCTTCACCTTTCATGTTGTTGTCGCCAACACTTTGGTTGCACCTACATAAATACAATTGGTTCTCTGCATTCTTGATGGAACAACTATGAAACACCATGCACCCAGCCTAGCAAAAAGAAACACTTGCTATCTTATTAGAATATCCTTAGGAATCCTCTCCATTTTTTTCTCGGATATCGCAGTATTCAGAAAGTATTATAGAAATATTCAAAAAAGGATTTTAAAAAAATTTGATTAGTCTCACACTTCAATATTTGAATTCACTTTTGCACGCAAACTTTTTCCATCCACACAGCTCTACTGATAGGGATTACACTAAGGGCAATGCAATAAAAAATTATAAAGAAAATGTTCAAAAGCCCAGAAAGAAACTGGAGATTAAATTTGGTTGTTGAAGAAAACCAGAAAGCAGAGCACAAGTAGAGAATGACTTGTTAATTAGAGGCTGGGTTTGAAACTAAAGAAAAATGGGATTCGAGCGCACGCTCGGGTTCATGCTCACTTGTCATTTGTTTGTTTTCACTGCTCTTCCGAATTATTATTTAACATCTTCCAACTGAGCAATTTGCCCGGGTTTGCTTCTTCCGAGACAATTATTTGCTAGATAATGAAACTTGTTCAGCTGATTCCAGATGATACAACATTTATACGAGTCGTTGCAACACGGTGCAGTCAGAAGAGCACGCTTTGCACGAGCAAACTTTGTCGTTGTTGCCCATAAATGCTTGTGTGACTTGTTCATTTTATACACTTGCCTTGTCATGTTTAATTAATTTTCTTCGATGTCTTGATCTTCCCTGAATATGTGTTTTTAGTCTCATAGACAGTGCACTGAGTGAGCTTCTTGGATGTACTTTTTTCGCCACCAGTAGCTGCTATTGCTTAGCACTTATGTGCATTTCTGCCTTCGTTCTAGCATTTCACGTGAAGACTCTATTCTCCTCAGATGGTTTGCTCGTTGCTTTGCTTATTGGTTGTTTCAGATGCTTTGCTCAGAAGAGGTGTCGAATACCACCCAAACTATCATCTTAGTTTCGTGTCGTCTCGTTGTGTCTCCCCCGCCATCGGCCATGCCATGCTGAATGCGCCGGTTCTCGTTGTTGTGTCTCCCTGTACGTTTGCTTGTACTGTCCGTAGTGTTCCTTACAGCGAAGTCATCATAGAGCGCAGTGGCATATTTCTTCTGCAGCTTTGGTTCTCGATAAAGCCTTCTCTGTAAAACGTCCAGCCTCTTGAAAGCTGCAGTCTGCAATCTTGGAACATTTGCTGTGCCCAGGCAGTGCAACTTGACAGTGTTCACTGTTTTCTAAGAGTTCATTGAATCAGTTGGTGAGAGATGTTGGTTTTTTTGAAAAATTTAATTGCTGCACAAACTTGAAGGAAAACAAGGGAGACAGGAAAGAGCGCAGTTTCCTGCGCTCTTTCCTGTCTCCCTTGTTTTTCTTCAAGTTTGTGCAGCAATTCAATTTTTCAAGTATGAACCAACTAGTCTGCAAAAAAAAAATATTGCTTCAACATGTTGGTTTTGTTTAGGCATATACCCAGACAACACAAACACAACCTCAGGACGTCCTCAGTATGCCTCTGTGAGGACAATATGACGCCCTCAGAATGTCCTCTTATGGTACTAGAAAGGCGATAATCCCATCCCCTTGTCCATACACATAACAACCTCAGCACATCCTCAAAACAACAATTCAGGATTTCTTCAGTATCTTTTCAGAACAACAATAGCGTGGCCGGTTCGGTACTGTGGGCAGTGATACTACTTAGGATTCACTTCTTTTCATGATATTTTCATACATCAAAAGAAAAACACCTGCGAGGTCTTGAGTATATATACTGTATCAATCAACAGAGAGGTGACAGTGCTAAACTATTACAGTAAAACAAACAAAGCTTGTTGGCTGACATTTATTTATTTAACAGTAATTAATCACAACTGACAGCTTTGTAAGGCATTCGAGTACGCGTATAGTCTGAAAAAAGAAAAGCAGTAGCAAGACAGTCAACACAGCTCAATCAACTACGTTTGTAATCTTCCTCGAAAGTTTGACACAGTGTCCTCATCACCACGTGTATCGCGCCCAATGCACTCACTAGTGTTAGAGGCTTCGCTCTGACAGCCTATCAGTACACTCGACACGGGCGTTGACTTGACTTGCCCGAGGTCGGGCCATGTGTCAGATGCAGTCAGATGCAGAAGTCGATCCTTTCACATTGGGACCAGGCTGCTTCGAAGCCCGATTGATCGTGATTGGCTGTTGTTCCAGGCTGCTTCGAACCACACATGCCGCGGTCGGCTGGTGACAATGCATCCATGATCATTCTGAACGCTGAGCAGCTCAGTGCACCCATCAACACGGCAATTTACCTACCGTCATCACCTACGACTTACACTCTCACACATATTTCACTTTTAACCATGCACACAAACAACAAAGGTCACGAACCTTCACTAGTTCACTGCACTTTTCCTGACAGGGCCGTCGCTGCCATTTTGACAGTCAGTTGGCTTGGAATGGCTTGGCAACTTGACTATCTAGAATGGTGCCGCATAGTCAATGGTTGCCAGCTGCTAGTTTGTTATTACGCTCTACAGTGGCGTA